GCCTGAGCTGTAAATTGAAAAGCCCAAACAAGCCCAAAACCCAAACTCTAAAAGCCAATGATGAAAAAAACACCGCTGTGAGGCTCAAGATGAAGGGCCGTTCAGGGTGCTGTGCTTTTTGGGCTACCGTGTGTGCTTCAAAGTTGAGGGCAAGCAGTTTTTGGGCTTAGCACCCTTCTTTGAGGAAGAAGTCGTGCCATGTCTTTTTTGGGCTTCATATGAAGAAGTCCGAAACCGAACCTAAGGATGTTGCTAGCATATACAACTTGATGCTTAGAAAGCCCATCTTGCACAACCCTAAACCCTAAGCCCTAAACCCTAAACCCTAAACTGGTAGACAATCATCCGCCGCGGGGCACTGCACGTTGAGTTTGGCCACCAGGTGATCCGGACAGCGCACGCGGACGAAGCCGGAGAAGATTAAGGGCCTTATCTCACTGACTACTTCCTTAAGGTTTAGGGGTTTAGGGTTTTAGGGTTTAGGGTTTGGGGTTTAGGGTTTAGGGTTGGCTGCACTCAGAAGGGTAGCTATAAATGAAATTGTTAGCTGCCAGAGTAAGAAACCCAATAAACCCAAAAAGGCTGAGGATCTAAAGTTACAGTCAAGCACCACAAAGGCTATCTCCCCGAAGTCGCAATGGTCTGTTTCCCAGGCCGACGGGGGGGAGGGAGGGGGAAACCCTAAACCCGAAACCCTAAGCCTAAACTAAACCCTAAGGTCTAGGAGTAGATCTGATTCCACAGCAGCTGATTTGCTAGGGATGCCGAGCTTTGCCGACCTTAAGACTATTGCGGAGTTGGCAGCGGATGCCTGACCAACTTAGCTGTGGATGGTTTGCTTGAGGTTACCCTAAACCCTAACCCGAAAACCTAAACCCTAAACCCTAAACCCCAAAACCCATAACCCCTAAACCCTTCACTGTTGTTGCTTTCATTTTCGGGTGAAGCCGTGCTATTTGCTCTCCAGCCGAGCACTTCCCACGGTGGCCTCAATGACACGACACCAGCATCCACGCTGCGGGTTTAGGGTTTAGGGTTTAAGGTTGAAAGACAGCAAGATATCATGCATTGAGGGCGACCATGCACTCATGCCAGTCATCGGGCAGTGAGAACAGGGTGCAACTCACTGGCAACATGGGAGTTTACGAGAATAAGGGACCCCTACTATCGCAACAAAGGATTCCTTTATGTCAAGGACCCCAAACCCGAAATAAACCCTCAACCCCAATAAGGTCCCTCTAATTTCGGAAACCCCCAGATAGAAGGGCAAAGCATGCATCGCTGAACTCATCTCATCATAGCGGACATGCGAAGTGGTAAAGACAGGTTGGGATGGCACATGGGACTGTGCAAGGAAGTTCCATACTCCAGACAACCAGCCTGCAGACAACCAGCCCCCATCAAATTCGGTCCAACCACAAGAGCTGGGAAGCAGCGGACCTCTCTAATTATGCATGGCGCATGTGGCTCGCCTTGACGCGCCACATGCAAGTGCTCTAACTGTGCCTCTGCGTTGCCCGTCTTCTCCACTGCGTGCTTGGCGAGGGAGGATTCGTGAACTTCTTTTTTGCAACAGAGTTTAGGGTTCAGGGATCAGGGCTCTGAGCCCCGTGATTAGAACCATAAGCCCTAAAATCGCCTAAAACCCTGAACCCCACAAGGTGTAGGTAACTGCCAGGTGCCGAACCACAGGCTGTACTCCACGGTGCCAAAGGACCGCAGCAGAGTCCCGCAGACCTGCCGCGGGACGTCGAATCCTCTGAGGGTTTCGGGTTTGTAAGAAAGGCAGGGCAAGAACGTATCCGGTAGCTTGAAACCACGGCCGTTTGTGGAGAAACTTGGAAGTCAAATCAAGAACGAACAAAGAATAAGGGGAACATGGTCAAATGACCTATGGTTTCTAAGGGGCTATGACAACATCGGAAAACCATAAGGATAGCCTAGCCGGCCCTGGGTGTGCAAAACCCTAAATCCCGCTCAGCACCCACGGAGTTTCGGGAAGATCGAAACACCTGAAGCATGCTTCCCCCCATGCATAAGGGCTTAGGGCTTAGGGTTTAGGATTTAGTGTTTAGCGTTTAGGTCCCAGCTCAGAGCGCCTCGGTTCCGAAGGTCGTCAGATCCGGCTTGTCCTGTGCAACAAACTGTTTAGGGTGTAGTATAGGGGCCTGAATAATTAGAATAGGGTTTTAGGGGTTTATTATACAAGTAGTATATGCACAAAGGAACCACAAGGGAATATGAGTATTATTCCGACCCCTATGTCAGGTCCACCACGGAACCTTGTTTTGCTTGCTGGCCCGATGGGTGTAGCCAGAATCTATCGCCCTCCGAGCAGATATGGACACACGCTGAAAGTTCAGGCTGAAGGCCCAAGCCCCACAACCCGGCCTTTAAATCCTCAAGCAACCCCTAAACCCTAAACTCTAAACCGGAAATCCTGAACCCTAATCTCTAAACCCTAAACAAGCCACAGCCCGATTTAAAGAAGGCCACGGCTCCTTAAACCGTATGAGCTGTCAAGAACCCTGCATTTTTTCAAGCCGGTAATCCGCATTCAGCCATGCAGCCTGTGGCCTAAGAGCCAGGCAAGGCAGGCAAGACAGGCACCCTAAACCCTAGCCCTAAACCTCTCAACCCTAAACCTTCTTCAAGAAAATCCCGAAGAGATAGAGCCCCACTGCATACCACTCCAGGGCTCAAGGCCTTGGTTCCCTTCATCTTTGCATCGCATCGCATCCTCTATGCATGTGCTACCGTTAAGCCTTAAGCTAGGCCCAGGAGGAACCTGTGAAGAAAAATGGGTGTGCCTCCTTTGGGTTGATGTAGTGGTCTTATAGGGGGAACCTAACCCCCCAACAAAAAAGAGGGGAATAAAGGGCCTACTCTGGGTCCTAGTCAGTCATGCCTTGAGACCTTTGAATCATGTCGAACTCTTTCTTCAGAGCGCCTCCCTCAATGGAGTCTTGGGAGCCACAAACAAGGTCCGTTTACACTGCCGAGATTCCAGACGACCTTGCTGAGTAGGAAATGAGGGACAGACATAGGTACCTTATGCCCTGATTCCCTGCTAAGAATCAGTAAGCTACTGTATGGCTCACACAGAGCTTGTCGAACATGAGAATGCCAACCTGCCCCTGGGGACCCTCCCAGGGTGTACAGTAGGTGGCTGGGACCAATTTCTGCAGTCATGAGGATTGTTTAGGGTTTTGGGGTTTAGTGTTTATGGGATTTAGGGAGTTTAGGGGGTTTAGTGTTTATAGTGTTTGGGAAGTTTAGGGAGTTTAGGGGGTTTGAGTCTTAGGTGATAGGTGTTAGGGGGGTACCATGTAATGGGCTGTGAAGTGGACAGCAAACGTGAACGGCTGCACGCAAGCCTTGGCATCATCCACCAGGCGCAAGTGCCGCTCCTGACGTTCCGGCTTCTAGCCCGACAGGGCTGTCGAGTTTCGCCTTAATCCCTATAAGCCCTCCTAAACCCTCCTATAAGCATAAATCCGAAACCCTAACTTTAGAGCCTTAGACAGCTCTACCGTTCTATGGGGTTGAAGTGCATCAGCGATTGTGGCTTCCAGGGGGGATGACAACCGAGAGCTGCGGTTGCTGGGTTTAGGGTTTAGGGTTTAGGGTCTAGGGTCTAGGGTTTAGATTTAGGGTTTAGGGTTTAGGGTTGTGGGTTGAGGGTTTAGGGTTTAAGGTGAGTCCTCGACGTCTGTGAGCTCCCCCGTGCGCAGCCGAAGCCGCACGAGGCCTTGTGATCTGCAGCTGAAGCAGGACATGATATCCGAGAAAAGAGTCGGGGATCCCCACGAGGAGGATGATCGCATTTTGGTGTATGTTTCGTACCTCCCCCCCAAGTTTGAATTGGGGAAACCAGAGCTTGGGGGCTTGGGGGGTTTACCCTAAACCCTGAACCCTAAACCCTAAACCCTAAGCTTGGGTTCTCTTTGGTGGACGCCGCGTCCTCCGTTCGGATGCTTCTTGCTGCGCTGCGAAAATTCACAGACCCGACGCACGCCGTATAGGGCATTCTTCGGGAGTCCGTTTGGGGTTTAGGGTTTAGGGTTTAGGGTTTATTGCATATCTCGGTTGGCCCTTGAAAGCATATGAAAACACATTCATAAACATGATCCTCTTCAATCCAAGAATAAGCGAAGACATGAAAAACAAAACAACATGTGCCGTTCAACCAAACAACCCCTCCCCCCCCGCAACCCACTCCCCGCACCCCAGAAAGCTCCAGTTGTGGAGACCAATCATGGACATATTCCTCTTCAACCTACAAGCCTCAGCTGGACAGTTAAGCACCCCCCCTCCCTCCCCCCTCGACCATCACCAAGTATAGGAAGGCTGATGGTCCGAAAGCGCCGCTGGCTATTTCGACTGGCTCTCACAAGCCGTCTGAGGGAAAGACCAGTTCATGGCAAACAGCCCTGCCCGTATAACCCTCTAGTGTTTAACGAAGATGGCTGAGTAAGATCCTCATAAAGAAAGGAATATCAAGTATCCCAAGGGCCTGCCTAGGAGGCGTACACAACAACAGTCAGCCGACACGCTTTTTTGCCAATACATGTGAGGCAGCAACTTGCGCATATAGCTATGTACATGGGGGCTGATCTAAATCATAGGGCCCTTCCAGGCGTATATACATGGAATAGTTGCACGAAAGTAGAGCCTCCTAATAGGGCCCATGATATAGATCCACCCCCCCACGTGGGGGCTCGCCTTTACGAGTGCGCCTCTGTACCAGGGCGATACTGACTCAAAGCGGTCGAACAGCACCCCTTGTTCTGCACGACTATAACCACGCAACTCTTTCGTGGCACATGAACGTGTTTTGAGCTCGAGAAGCTTCCCCTAGCGTTGATACACTAAGGACTAAACAAGCAAACCCGATAAGCCCTAAAGCCCAAACCCTAAACCACTAAAGCTGTACACCCCGAGCCCCTAACCCTAAGCCCTAAACTTTACGAACCCTAAACCACTGCAATTGCACACCTCTAGACGATCAGCTGTCCGTGCTTGGCGGCCTTTGGCGCCTTGGGAAGCACCTCCCAGGAGTTCTGCTACCCAGCTTGGCTTCTTTTAAACTTTAGTGTGGCTTCTCAGTGAAAAAAGACGTGTCAAGCAACGACACACAGGGCAGCGTAGGTAAGCACACCGCAAGATTAAGGCGACTACGGGGAGTTCTGGGCATTTTCTTAAAATTCGGGGGAGGGGTGTTAGGACAAAGGCGTACCGAGTGCCCAGGGAGGAAGATCAGTGTGGCGTCCTGAGGGTCTAGCTCAACACTCAAAACCCAGGGCCCTGCAAACGTAAGCCGTAAACTCCAAACCTTGCAAGCCTTCAGAATTTCAGGGTGCTCATATTTCCCCGACTGGCTATAACAAAAACTAGAAGTGCCAAAATGCAACCAAATCTGAGCCCCCACTAACACCCGAACCTCGCCTTGGTAACCCAGCAACCATATAATATATATATATATATATTAATCAGGGCACCCTTTTTCAGGTTCCTTTATAAGGGAACCTTGAACCAACCAAAGGGAAAGGGGAGCACTGGGCTACCGAGTCCACTCACACCCTCCCTAAACCCTAAACCCTAAACCCTAAACCCTAAACCCTAAACCCTAAACCCTAAACCCTAAACCCTAAACCCTAAACAACACCGAGCCTTCAACTGCAGGCTGTCTGACGTGAGCCCAGGGGATGACGCCGTCACCCGGATGGCGCCGCTCGCCGGCGCCGTCGGTCTAAGAACGGCCATGAGCCTTGTGCCAGAGCAAGGGCTTGGGTGTTTTTGCAACAAGGGTTTGGGGTGTAGGGTCTATAGGGTCTATAGGGTTGATAGGGTTGACAGGGTTTATAGGGTTTACAGAGTTTATCGGGTTTGTAGGGTGTGTAGGGTTAGGGGTCCAGGGTTTGGGGCTGGATGGGGGTAGGCCTGGCCAGGGCAAGGGTTCAGGTTTTTTTTTGCGTTTTGGCCACCAGGGATTAGGGTTTAGGGTTTCGGGTTCAGGGTATAACTGAGGGTTGAGGGCTTAGGGTTTCGGATTTCGGGTTTATGATTGAGGGCTCGGGGTCCAAGCTTTGGGGTTTAGGATTGTTTTGGGGCCAAGTTGCGAGGCCCAGCCTGGCATGCACTTGGGTCTCGTGCATTCAGTGGTTGAGTTTGCAAGAAGTGGTCCTGAACTCCGAACCTCAACCTGCGGTTTGCAGCATATTGGGACCCTTCTCAACCTAAACCCTAAACCCTAAACCCTGAGCAAAGGCCCCCGCCCTTTTTTCGAACTGGATTTGCAGACGATTCATGCCCCATATCTCGATGAAACGACTTATGCCCTTTTCAAGCACGGGCTTCGGAAGAAGCCTTTTAGCCTGCGAAGCCACGGCACCCCCCCCCCCCCCCCCCCCCCCCCCCCCCCCCCCCCCCCCCCACCCCCCAAACCCTAAACCCCTTTTTGAGCACGGGCTGAGGAAGCTGCCGGCAACCTGATAGCCCTAAACCCTAAACCCCAAACCCTAAAAACCTTAAGCCCCCAAGCCCCAAGCCCCAAACCCTAAACCCTATAAACCTTAAGCCCCCAAGCCCCAAACCCTAAACCCTATAAACCCTAAACCCTATAAACCCTAAACCCTAAAAACCCTAAAAACCCTAAAAACCCTAAAAACCCTAAAAACCTAAAAACCCTATAAACCCTAAACCCCAAGCCCTAGTTCGAGTCCAGGATGCCGGCCCCCGAAGGCAGGCCGCTGGGGAGAGGTGTTCAGCTCGAGACTGGCCGGGTCCCCGTTTGCTGTGCCAAGGATCCTGACAACATGTAGGGTTTAGGGTTTAGGGTTTAGGGTTCAGGGTTCAGGGTTTAGGGGAAATCATCGTGGGTATGACATACTCAGCACATCTGTGAGTTAGTAAGTTGCTCTTGAAGCGCAGAGCAGCAATCAGGTCTGAGGTGTAGAGAGCCGGCAAAAGTAAAGAAAGGCTTGTGGGCCAAAGCTGGGTGAAAAAGCCAGCCTTCTCTCCGACGTCTGACCAACGCAATGCGCGCACCCCCCAAATCCAGATGTTGCAGTGCCCAAGCTCGAACCATGTCCCGAAGGGCTCAGGCCCCCAAAAGCCCCCCAGACAAAGCCAGTCAAGCCCTCCAAACTCTCACATCAAAGCCAGATACTTGGCATGCAACCCCCAGCCGTCAACGCCCGAGGACCTCAAAGCCCTTGAACCCTAAACCCTAAACCCTAAACCCTAAACCCTAAACCCTAAACCCTAAACCCTAAACCCTGGCCCTAAACCCTAAACCCTAAACCCTACACCTCATACAGGTCATAAATACAGGGAGGGATGGAGCCTGGCACCGCCCTCCACGGCGAAAGTGACCTGGGCACAGCTTCGGATCTCCGCAAGTTGGGAAAGTCTTTGTCATGGCATGGGGATGACAGGAAGTTTTTTGGGAGCTGTCACGAATTTGAGGGGAAGTAGGAATTTTTACCACCCAAGTAGGGTTTAGGGACTTGGGTTGGGTTCTCTACAGCCGTTGTACAGTTTGACCTTTCTTGTTTGTTGGTGCTGCTGGAAGGCTCCATGCAAAGGGGCATGCCATTTAAGTCCTCATGAGCTGTAGAAGCTCACATTGAAGTTCCCGTTTGTCAGCACATGTTTGGCCTCAAGAGGAGGCTTCACATGGGGATATGCAAAAATTCGGGAACCCTAAATAGGCCCCCCAAATAATGGGATTCCTTTATAATCAGGGCCCCAAGGTACTCGAATTTCGGAAACCCTCACATGAGGACGTGCTGCAGCTGAAAAAGAAGCCTGTCAGTAAGAGAGAAACATCTGGCGGCTGCTCCGCTGTACCTAAGCCCTAAACCCTAAACCCTAAACCCTAGGTGTGTGACCTGCGGGATGCATGTTCGAACTCCAAACTTCACAGCTTTGGGGGGCGAAGCCCAATTTTCAACCCCCCGAGCGTGCGGCCATCGCCGAAGCGGTGGGTACGATGCTGCCCTGGGCATCGAGCACGTCAACGGAAAGTAAGGCGACGTCCTCGGGGCCGCATGTGGCATTTTTTCTGGAATGTTGAAGATCAGGACTCCTGACATCTCCCAAACCTTGACATCCCTGCCCTAACAACTCTCGCAAAAGGCCCTAGATACGCGCCGTCCTGGCCATTTGCGATCACGCCGCTCTCACCAACACCGTCCTGAAACATGACGGGATGATGCGGAGGCATCAAGGTTTGGGGCCCGTTTTGGGGCTTTGGGCTAGGGCGCTCCTAAACCCGAAACCCTAACCCTAAACCCTAAACTAAGTGAGGGGTCGAGCGACAGACCCCGAACGCTCGGCCGAGGGCCTTAGAGCCCGAGCGCCCAAGCGAAAAGAGAAACGGAAAGGTGAGGAATAAGCCTCACCGTCTGTCCTGGACAGGCCAACGGACATCGGCCTCTTTTACGACTACGTCAGTACTCCAAACCCTAAACCCTAAACCCTAAACCCTAAACCCTAAACCCTAAACCCTAAACCCATTCACTCGACCGTGGCTACCGCTGTGGTCAATTTTGCGATCGTGAGGGGCTCGGTGGCACGGGGTGCTCACAGGGCACCTCGCGCAAACGAATTTACAAACGCACAATAACGCGTCCTACTTGGGATGCTCCCTTATACTATCTTATACTAACAGTCGTTTAGGGTTTAGGGTCCTTAATCGGATCTTAATAGGGATTATAATCCCCTCCATGATAATCCCTATTCTGGGCTGTACAATGGTACACGGAGGAACATCCCAACGTTCTTGCAGCATGTTGAAAGGCGCACACGTCCCAAAGCAAGCCATCTCAACTGCCCGCTAAACCCAGTGAGCATCTCGTCCTGCAAACATCGAAAATGGAAAGTGATTGCACCAAAAGTGCTCAAGATAGTCCTCGAGAAAGTGCTGCTGGAGGTTTTCCCCTCGAGACTAAAGCTGACGTGCCGTGCGTTGCGTCGCGAGTGGGTTAAGGCGATTGTGTGCAAGTATGATACGGTATGCAGGATGCTTTTTCAAAGACCTCTGATCCTCAGCCGCAGAACCAAGTTCATGCACATCAAGTTGGTGAAAGCTATGGCGAACATGGTAATGAAAGAGGAAAGGCTGGTAATATCCCATGAAAACGGTAGGCGCATGGAAAGCTGGCAGGGTCTACTCGACCAAAAAGTAGCCTAGGAATAAAATGGGTGCCTCTTTTTGGTTTAAAGGGGCTTATATATAAGGGAACCTAACCCCCCCCCCCCCCCCCCCCCCCAAGCAAAAAAAAAAAAAGGGAATCCGGGCCGGGGTCCTAGTCGTTTTGCAACTGGGCGGACTAGCCAGTCTGAGGAGCTTACATGCATGCCAAGACGCGAGTCCTAAACCCTAAACCCTAAACCCTAAACCCTAAACCCTAAACCCTTGGTGGACTTCTAGAGTACCACCAGCTCTCTCCAAGGAACCTACGGCGAGCAAGGGGTGCCCTGCTTTGGCTGAGGCAGCTTGTAAGGGAGCAAGCCTCCCTTATAGGCCGAAGCCGGCGGAAACCCTGAGCGCTGCCGTTAGGGTTTTAGGGTTTAGGGTTTAGGGTTTAGGGTTTTAGGGTTCAGGGTTCAGGGTTCAGGGTGTGCAAAACCCGACACCAAACAAAAATCAACCACAACCCGCTGCCCCTCAACGGCTATCCATGGCCAGTGCTCCACTCCTCGTTGGTCAAGTCCCTTGTGAAGAACACCACAGTCACTGTCTAACACTGCCCCGTGAACGTGCCTGTACTATACCCTTCTGCTACTACGTGCTTTTGTCCCCCACAAAAGTGAAAGACAACAATCCCTATCTTACCCTTATAAGCAAGAACATTTTGTACTCTTTGGGTGGTTCTTAAGTAAAGAGTAGTACAGGGATGATAAAACACTCCAAAACCCTAAACCCTAAACCATGAACACCACATCCCCGAAGCCCTGATCCCCCCCCCGCCCCCCCCCAACAACCTCTCCTTCGCCCCCGGTTCTGAGTAGGGAATGAGGGAATAAGGGCCCTACATAGACCCTTTAAGGGACTAATCCCCAAACACTAAACCCTAAACCCTAAACCCCAAACACCAAACTCTAACCCTAAACCCTAAACCATGACCTGCATACCCTTCAAGGGATTGTAAAGGGTACCTCCTTCCCTCATTCCCTGCTAAGAACCAGCCAGTGCCCGGCCCGTCTCAGCCTAAAAGCCCTAGTAGGCCCTAAGGTTGAGGGTGCGGCTTTAGGGTTTAGGATTTTTTTGGTTTAGGGTTTAGGGTTTAGTGTTTGGGGCTTAGGGTTTAGGGTTTAGGGTTCACAAACCCACCCCCCTCTAGCCTCCAAAGAAGGAAGAGCCGAGCTGGGAGCATTGGGGGATGCAGCGAGAGCTGTTTCCTAGGGCCCCCCATTTACAAAACCCCAATTTAAACAAAAGAGTAGGGTTTAGGGTTTAGGGTTTAGGGTTTAGGGTTTAGGGTTTAGGGTTTAGGGTTTAGGGTTTAGGGTTTAGGATTTAGGGCTTAAAGGGCTTAGGGCTTAGGGCTTGGGGCTTAAAGGTTTTAGGGTAGTTCGGTCCAGCAGCCGCCCCTACCGAGTAGGAACCGAACCGAGATGGTGGCACCCTTGGGTTTGGGCACCCGTTTTAAAGATCTAAATTGGTTTAGGGTTTAGGGTTTAGGGTTTGGGGTTTGGGGTTTGGGGTTTAGGGTTTAGGGTTTGGGGTTTGGGGTTTAGGGTTTAGGAATGTCAGGGCCACCCTGTTTCAAGATCCCCCTAAGGGAATGTAAGTGCCACCCCTTTCAAGGATCCCCCTAATAAGGGAATGTAAGGGCCACCCGATTTAAAGATCCCCCTAAGGGACATCTTCGGAGTTTTGTTTAAGGAAAACCTTTATGGGGTACAACATTTTTGATAAGCCTTTTTGAACCCAGGTTCCGCTCCTATAAGAAAAAGGCGCGCCGAACCCTAAACCCTAAACCCTGAACCCTAAATTTCTAAACCCTAAACACTAAACCCTAAACCCTGAACCCTGAACCCTGAACCCTAAACCCTGAACCCTAAACCCCACCCTCTCCCCCCCCCCACCTCCCTCCCCCGCCACCGGAAACTGTGTCTGCCTTGATGCGGAGGCGAAGTGACTGAGGGCTACCCGTGGTGTGGACTTCGGCTGTCTGCACCACCTCCAGCATGAATGGGTTGGTGATTGTTGATCAGCCCTGAGGATTTGTAGTTCATGGTTGGGTTAGTATTTAAACTTTCAGTTTCTATTCCTTATTGTGATTAAGTATTAACAATGTCAAATTCCCCCACTATGATAAAGACACATTTAGGACTTGTTGTAGGGTGTCTGCTATGTTGCGCTTTTGCTTTTAGGTCCTTCTTGGAGCACCACACCCGGAAGTCTAGCAAAACCCCACAAACCTCACACAAGGAAACCCCAAACCCTAGCACACCAACACTCCGTCACACTCCAGCCCCGAAAGCCCTCCTAGAATCAACCGGACTATCGGCTTGGATCCCCGAACTCCCGCAAGGTAAGACAAAGAGATATAAAAACCCAAATATCAGGGTTGTTGAGAAAGGGGGGGGGGTGGGGGGGAACACTTGCGGCCTAGGGAGTTTAACATGTCATCTTTCGAAAAGTTGAATGCGGGATAGAAGGCGCCGAATTCCCACAATCCCTGCTCAGAAATCATAAGCGCAATTTTCCGAAACCCTTTCTTTCCTTCCGAACTCCTGCCCTAAACCCTAAGCCCCAAAAACGACAACGCCCAGGCGTGCACGCCTGGCCCTTGACGTAGCCCTTGGCCGTGAGTTGGCCCGCAAGGAAGGGCACCTGCAAAGGGCCGCTTGCAAGGGTTTAGGGTTTAGGGTTTAGGGGTTAGGGGTTAGGGGTTTAGGGTTTAGGGTTTAGGGGTTAGGGGTTTAGGGTTTAAGGGTTTTAGGGTTTTAGGGTCTAGGGTTTAGAGGTTTGGGGTTTAGGGTTGACCCTCTGTGAATGTTCATAGAAACGATCATCGTAGTCTGCTATTTGCTTAAGAACCCCCTCACCCCCCCCCCCCCCCCCCCCCCCCCCCCCAAAAAAAAAAAAAAAAAGAGAAAACGACAACAGCAATAATCTTCTTCCTTATTATAGTAGGGTAATATAGGGATTACTACTTTTGGTGGGTTCTTAAGCACTTCGTAATCGTCATAGCAATCAGAACAAGCCTACTACTCAGAACTGTCATAAAACCCATAACATCGTGATGATGAATTGGATCATAGGAAGAACATGACCAATAACACTCAACAGCCATGATACTAATGCAACATCACCAAAAAACAGCTCTCTTTGGTGTTCGATAGCCTTAACAAGACCCCATCACCCCAAGAAGGCGACAAAGGCCAGCCTGACACAGGGCTTCCTCGTTTCATCATATGGGATACAGATCCCTGTTATCTGTGTGTGTCTGCCAGAATCCCAAAACTGCAGAAGTCGAGACGATCGGCAGGTGCTGAAAGCATAAACCCTGTGACTTCATATTGTCAGTGCTCCCAGCCTCCCAGGATACATGGGAACATGGGCTGGCGGAGATCTTGCCCATGGAGGTGCCATTGGGATGAATCAGCTCAACCTGTCAGGTGCTGTCCATTTGTAAAGTTTCCGCTTACATGTATGCCTCTATGACTTTCATGTGCTTGCAGCAGCTTCAATTCTATGTCTTCAAGCTCCAGCTAGGTGTTCCTAGCGCATGGAGGCTACGCGTTTGTCTGCATGCAGAAGCACGACCGCGCGTCCGCATTTTTTCGGGATTGGCATCAGTGGTGCGAACCCTAAACCCTAAACCCTAAACCCTAAACCCTCAACCCTCAACCCTCAACCCTCAACCCTCAACCCTCAACCCTAGACGGACTTCGGGCCCTGCCTCCTCCGCATTGGAGTACGCCCAGACCTGTCAAACTCGGGAAGCAGCTGGACTACTGAATATGCTATAATCTTTATTAGGGTATGGGAACCGAAAACCCCAATAAGGACCTCAAAAACAAAACAATACCGGGCATATGCATATTAAAACATATAGCTACATCCATATATATATATATATATCGTGGGAGAGGTGGAGAGAGAAAATCAATAAGGAAGAAGGAAGGTGATGACCCCTCGTGCCCTCGAGTGAAAGTTCCTTGCAGTCCCAAACTTAGTAGCCCAGTCACCAACATGCTACTGGCTATGCGGGTACCCTTTGTTGATTAATTCCTTACAAGTGAACCCGGAGCCAACAAGCAGGGCAAAGGATACCACTGGGCTACCAAGCAATCCCTAGACCCTAAACCCGACCCAAGACCCCAAAAACCCTAAACCCTAAACCCTAAACCCTAGACCCCTAGACCCCAAACCCTAAACCTCAGAGACAGATGGTTCACAGCTAGAAAGCCCCTGGTCCAGCCGTCACAAGCATCGCGCCCGTTGCCGCATCTCTCCGGCAGCCATCCCCACCTTAAGTCTCGATGCTTTGAACGCTAAATAACTAAACCCTAAACCCTAAACCCTAAATTACTAAACCCCAAACTGGGGGATGTTCCCTCAACTACTCACTGTCCTTAATAGGGATTCTAATAGGTGGGTATCATTAATCCCGATCAAAGACTGTTAGTATAAGGGGGAACATCCCAACCCCAAACCCCGCACCCTAAACCCCCTCAGCCTCTTAAACCTCCACAACTGAAAGCCCGCCTGAACCCACATACACCCACTTCGTTCTGAAAAAGCTGTTCTTGGGGGATGCCTCGGTTCCCCTAAGTACGCTCTCTTGACTCGACATCACCAACACATGCCAGAAACCGAACTATACAATTCGGGAGGAAAAGGGGGGGGGGGGTGTCGATGCACCATGCTGCTGGAACCGTATGTTTTGGGTTCCACTCTAGACCTCAAGCTGATAACCTTCTCTTCTTCCTAAGGCTATCAGAGAGGTTTAGGTCTATAAGCTGCATTCCCGAAGGTAGACCTTCATCAGTTCTACAGGGCAGGATGCGAAACTCAACAACTCCTTGGGAACCTTCCTCCCTCACAGCATTGAAGGCCCAAGCGCAGCGGTGCTCTTCCCAGTTCCAGTGAGGAAGCAGATGCAAAATGTACCTGGGCAAAAAACCAAACCCTTAGCCCTAAGCCCTTAACCCTAAACCCTGAGCATCCTAAACCCTAAACCCTAAACCCTAAACCCTAAACCCTAAACCCTGAGCATCCTAAACCCAGACCCTTCAGGTACATTCCTTCACCCCGACGCCTTTTCCACCATGATGCAACACGTCTCCCACGACTTCTGGAACGTTGCATGAGTTTTGGTAAAGTGCTCGAAGCAGCTGGGACCTGGGGGACTACGTGAACCTAAAATTGGGATAATCTACCCTACACGGCGTAATCCCGTTGAAAAAGATCAGAACAAGGGCCATAAACCCTAAAGCCTTCTAGGGGCCGCGAAGGTTTTCAAGCAGGTCCAAGGCCTCCAGTTTCTGAAAGCCATTTACCACTGACTTCAAACCCTAAACCTCAAACCCCAAACCCCAAACCCGAAACCCTAAACCCTAAACCCTCAGCCGACGGCCCCAAAACGTCCCGCCCAGCTGAAACTTGCTGCGTGCGGCTCTGTGCTTGGCGGGGTCCAGCAAGCCTGCTGCAGCAAAGGCGGGCTTCAATCGCATTGGAGGGCCTGGAGGAACCCCCCATGGCCCTTAGAAAGAGCAACGTGCCCAATCATGAAAATGCATGCCTTATGTTTTTTGGGCACATGGTCAGTTCTCTAAAGCTTCCATTTGGGGCCCCTGTTGCAATACAGCAACCAAATAAAGGACCATGTACATGGGTTACTCTTGGTAGTTGCACGACTCCCAAGTATCCTAGAGATTACTTAAATGCGTGCCTTTGCAGCTTTGGGGGTTATGGTCAAAAAGGTTTGATTTCAATGTTCAGGGGGCTACTGGAAGAAAAAAACAATTTCGCTCCCAACCATGCGGCTCATGTTTTTTCGGCTCTACCCGCAACCCTAAACCCTAAGCCCCAAACCCTAAACCCTAAACCCTAAACCCTAAACTCTAAACTCTAAACTCTAAACCCTAAATCCTAAATCCTAAATCCAAAACCTTGCTAAGGTGCGGCCCTTGGCTTGACAGCCCCTCAATGCCCTCCTTAAGGACCCAAATGAACCCTCAAAGGTGATTCTGGTTCATGTGCCTGAATCGGTGTTCAGGGTTTAGGGTTTAAGGGTTTAGGGTTAGAGTAGCATAGGGTATAATATGAACCTTATTTTCAGGATTCATCGATGGTCCCGAAGGCGAAGCCCGAGCCCAAACTGAACGGGACCCTGGGGTCGGGGAGTTTCGAGATATTGGAAGCCAAAGCTACACCCTAAACTAAACCCTAAACCCTAAACTCCAAAACCCTAACCCTAACACAAGCCTGAGCCCCAAAATCCTGAAGAAGTCCCAGACCCAGGACTGAACCGCCGAAACGTCTATGCAAGCCCCCGCTGGGCGCTCAAGAGCCATGAAGCTGATGCCCAGCCATCTCACGACATGCGAAGAGCAGTGCATGTAACGATATCTCATGTGACCGGCTTTAGATGAAATAGAGACCTTAAACCCTAAACCCTAAACCCTAAACCCTAAACCGGTCCGCCTTGTAGTAGTATGCACGGTGCTTCCAGAAGCCTGCCATATCCAGGACGCCGAAATGAGAATTCCTTGGGCTTGGCTTCGAGTTTGGGGCTCAAAGGGCTCAGGGTTTAGGGTTTAGGGTTGGCCCACCCACCTGCCTGGCAGGCTCGCATCACTCAGAGGTTGCAGGGTTTAAGGTTGGGACGTTCCCCCTTACACAAACAGTCCTTCATAGGGATCATAGTACCCCCTATTATAATCCTCCTCATTAAGGGCTGTTAGTATAAGGAGGAACATCCCAGCATTATAATCCTTATTAAGGACTGCTAGTATAAGGGGGAACATCCCAAGACTCGGGTTCTTCGGTTCCCGGCAGTAGCTGCGACTTAGGGCAAGCACAGAGTGTCGCTCATCTCAGGGTTTGGACGGTTTTGAAGGTTGGCGGCCATAGGTCACCCTAACCCTAAACCCTAAACCCTAAACCCCAAACCCTAAACCCTAAACCCTAAACCCTAAACCCTAAAACCAAAATGCAGCCTAAAAACAGGAAAATCTCAACAAACAGGAGGGGAAGCTCACGGAAAAGCGGGGATTGGTGGTTTGGGTACCTTGTTGAGGTCTTTTCTTATAAGGGAATCCTGCTACTTGGGTTTAGGGTTTAGGGTTGAGGTCCTTTCTTATAAGGGAATCCTGCTATTTGGGGTCTATTTTGAGGGTAAACCCCCCCGAATAGCCTGAGGGCAAGTCCATGATGCTTGCTAGGGGTTTAGGGTTTAGGGTTTAGGGTTTAGGGTTTAGTTTAGGGTAGGGTTTAGGGTTTAGGGTTTAGGGTTTAGGGTTTAGGGTTTAGGGTTTAGGGTTTAGGGTTTAGGGTTTAGGGTTTAGGGTTTAGGGTTTAGGGTTTAGGGTTTAGGGTTTAGGGTTTAGGGTTTAGGGTTTAGGGTATTAGGGTTTAGGGTTTAGGGTTTAGGGTTTAGGGTTTAGGGTTTAGGGTTTAGGGTTTAGGGTTTAGGGTTTAGGGTTTAGGGTTTAGGGTTTAGGGTTTAGGGTTTACCCTTAAACAGGATATTCCAAGGTAAAACCCTCAAGAACCGAAGCAAGAAGGGAGAACTATACCAAGGCCTTGCCTAGCTTGAGGGCTCCGGGCCATACTTGCGTCAAGCGTAAAAGGTAGGCGTCGGAGCACCCTAAGCCCCAAAACCCCAAACCCTAAACCCTGAACCCTAAAACCCAAAACCCTAAACCCAAAACCCTAAAACCCTAAAGCCCTAAAACCCTAAAACCCTAAAACCCTAAAACCCTAAAGCCCTAAAACCCTAAAACCCTAAACCCTAAAACCCTTCTAAGCATCTCGCAGCTCTAAAAAAGGCCGAGCTTCACATCCGGCCATTGGTAGGGAGTCGGCTCTCCCCTGTAGTCCCAACCTGCAGAAAGCTGCGTGCTGATCCGGTTTAGGGTTTAGGGTTTAGGGTTTGGGGTTTGGGGTTTGGGGTTTGGGGTTTAGGAATTTTTTTTTGCCCCGTTTTACCCCCCAGTTCTACGTGGCATTGCTTTGATTGCTTGGTCGAATGTTCAGGGTTTATATTTATAGTGTTTTTGTTTTAGGGTCCAGGGCTACCAGTTCCTTTGGACATACCTACTGAACGACCTGTCTGACCTCTGAGGCCCAGGAAAATGAAATGTTGCCAACCAGTTAAGAAGAAGAAGAAGCAGAAGAAGAAGAAACATACGCGAATGACAAATGGTTGTGAGACTGTGATAAAACTAGACCCAAGAGTAGCCTAGGAATAAAAAGGGTACCCTTTTTGGCTTAAAGGTGCTTCTTATAAGGAAACCTAAACACTTCAAAAGGGGATAAGGGCCCCCACTCTGGGTCCCACAGCAAACTAGTGGGAACATCCTTCTTCCATACCCCAAAAAGGTATACTCAAGGGAATCCCGGCTGCAATCATCCTTAAACCATGTTCCAACTTCCTGGAGTCTACCGTACATCTATACTCCCCTTAGAACCTCAATACAAATAATACTTTTAGTATCCTCTTGTGTATGATATACGCAAAATGACAAACTAATTCCCAGGGGGCTATAGAAATATCCCTAAACCCTAAACCCTACACCCTAAACCCTAAGGAAGGAGTTTTCCGCAAATATCACAGCATTGACAGGGTTGGGGGTGCCCGACCTGTCCACGTGAAGCCGCCCGCCACAAAAGACCGACTCAGGATGGCTTGCCAAGCCACCTGCAGGGGAAAACCCGAACTTCCCTAGGCCCGATAAACCCTAAACCCTAAACCCTAAACACGGAGACCTGGGAAGCGAGAGGGCAGGGTGCGTTCTTGGAGTTGAGGGATTTTTTGTCCTAAACCCTAAACGCTATCCCTAAACCCTAAACCCTAAACCCTAAACCCTAAACCCTAAACCCTGAACCCTAAACCCTAAACCCCCTGATGTAGCCCTGGGTTGAATATTATATTTATTCCGGAAGTCGGTAAGCCCAAAACCCTAAGCCCTACCTGGGACCCACTTTTCCTACACTTTTATGGGTTCTACCTACTTATTAAGGGTCAATGGAGTCCCAGTGATGTAGCCTAGTATACTACTGAAGGGCCCAGAAGGGAATACTAATGGTACCCATTCCGATCCCTATATTTCCCCCCCCAGCCCATGGTAAACAGAGATATTGGGATCCTGGCTCAAAGAACCCGAAAAGGGTTTTGGGTTCATATACCCTAGTAAGAAGGGATGATACTAGCAGAGGGTATCTATGAGGTAAAACACACGCAGAGTTTAGTAAGCCCCAAGTTAAGGACTTGAGCGTTGGGCCTGGGACGTCTCACCCCAGCCGGGATGCTCCGTGTCCTGCATGTGGGAGAGAGGTGCCATAACCCTAAACCCTAAACCCTGAACCCGAAACCCTAAGCCCTAAGCCCTAACCCAAAACCCAAAACCCAAAATACTTGTTGCGCCTGAAGCCTCGGAACCTGAGCTCATGAGCAGTCTGATGCACGCAACCTTAAATACCACAAGTTCCACAAGACCCTCACATCCAAAAGCGTTAACTCTTAAAACCTCGAGTTTTGCCTTTTTTTGGTTGGGGGGGGGGGGTGTTTGTTAACTTGTAGTACTGTTCTGGAACTAGGTTGGGTGTCCGAAGCTGTGCTGTGTAGGGTTTTGGGTTTACGGCTTAATTACGGCAAGAAGGCTTCAGTACCAAAACAGAATTCCAGAATCATACGTTACTCTTAAGTTCCAGGGCCTAACAATTAGGTTACTAGAGCCCCTAAGGACCTCAGCGTTATGTCCCTGGAAGGATAGGGTTAAGTTGACGCTAACGACAATCCCGCTATCGAGTGGCGTAGTCACGCACGTGGCCCGCCGCCGGGTCGTTGGCCACCAGGCCTTCGGTGCTTTTGAGGCTTTGATGAGGTGAAGGGCATAGGGTTTACCTCTCCGTCCCTCTCTTTCGCTCTCTATCCATCTCTCTCTCCCTCGCTCTCTCCGTCGCTCTCTCTCCCTCTCTCTCTCTCTCTCTCCTACAATTCATGCTGGTGCAGGGCTCAGTGCTTGAAGAATCTTAAGGCGGTCCCAGCTGGTCGTGTCCTTTACTAACTGCCCAGGACACAAATCAACAGCTCCGGGGATTCAGGTGCATGAGGCCCCAAGGCCTCAACGCTGCACCCGCCAGAAGGAACTACGATGATCCGCCGAACTTAGGGTTTTTTTGCGTTAAAAAACCCATTTCGGGGTTTAGGGTTTTTTTTACGTTAAAAAGCCCTAAACCCAAACAAAAATGGCCTCTGTCCGAATACGCCGAGGACGTCTCACTGCTGATGGCAGGCACCTGCACGCATGGCAGCTGGGGCCCTAAACCCTAAACCCTAAACCCTACACCCTAAACCCTAAACCAAGCTACCTGGAGGCACCCAAAGATCCTCCCATGCCGTTCTGGCGTGATTGTGCAGGTCCCCAGGCACTCTCGACTTTATGAGCCCCTTCATTCCCTCAACCCCAAAGCCGCCGACCTAGGGACACTTACTCCTGCTAGAATATGATATATGTTTTTTTTGAATAGAGAGTCCCTCCTTCGGTCCCCTTCATTTGGGGACGATTCCGTAAAGTCGCCTTAGCACTCCCGATGCTAACTTCAGGGCTTGGGGGGCATTGGGGTCTCTGGAGAGACTTTACGGCACCGGCGCCCCAAGATGTTTAAGGGTTAAACAGTTGAAGCCTAAACCCGAACCCTAAACCCTAAACCCCACCAGACCGAAACATGTATCCCAGGAACCACCGCCGCCCCCCATGGTGGCACACTAACTCCTAGATCTACCTTTCAATCCACAGTCTCACTTAATTACTGTCACTTAAACCCTAAACCCTAAACCCTAAACCGGGCCCTAAACCCAATAACCAAAGAATAGAATAGCTTAAACTTGTTTATTCCGACTAAGGAAGGAAACCCAAAAAGCTTAAGGTTCAACCATTGGCTAAGTAAGCTTGGGGCGGTTTAGGGCTTTTCTCCCTTCTGGGGTCCTTCTGAGTCAAAGCATACCCAAAACACCCCAAACCTCATAAACCCCAGACCACAGACACGCTAAGCAACCCTAAACCCTAAACCCTGACTAAACCCTAAACCCTAAACCCTAAACCCTAAACCCGAAACAGCAAGCCGCTGCCCCCGGAGCCCGCCTCAGGCGCAGCCGCATGCCATCGATCGTAGGTCTCTGGGCTATAGTCGAAGCCCATCCTTTGATGCTTTGGGTTTTTGGGGCGTTTAGGGTTTAGGGTTTAGGGTTTAGGGTTTAGGGTTTAGGACATGTAGGGTTTAAGGTTTAGGGTTTGGTGTTTGGCGGTCCAGGGGTCCGGTGCTTGGAGCTCAGAGGGTTGAGGGTCTGACGTATGGGCTAAGGGTGTTGGGGTTTCGCAGGGCTTGCAGGGCTTGGAGGTTGTGGCGTAGGGGGGTGGTTTAGGGTTTAGGGTATCTTGTGCCTTGGGGGGGGGGGATGGTTTAGGGTTTAGGGTATGTAGGGTGTTAGTCTCTGTAGTCTCTTTAGGCATGGAGGGGGATGGCAAGGCACCAGGATTCTGCCAAGTTGTTAAAGGTGTAGGATTGGCTGCACATGGACTGTTCGGTTGGGTGTCATCAGGGCCACGGTTAGAGGAATTCAGGTTTCGCGTTCGAGGGAAGGGCCTTGAAATCCTTGAACACCCTAATTAAACCCTAAACCCTCAACCCTGAAACCTAAACCCGAAACCATAAACCCTAAACCCTCAACGCTGAAACTTTACATTGGCCCAGCTGCACGTCCATGGGCGTGTGGTTGCCGTTGAAGTCGTTGTAGTTCGCCTAAGCTCGGGTGCTTCCGTGGACACCTTGTCTACTACCGGATCTCAGACACCCAGCGACCCAAAGTCTGCGCACTGGTCTTGCAAAACCACCACTTAAAAACAACTTTCCGATAGAAATGCCCAAATAAAATTTCAGCCTTTGACTTCCTAAGACCCTCCGAAAACTGAACCCTAAACCCTCAACACCCCAGGATGTGAGATATGCCTAGTAGCAGAGACTGGGCGCCCCATCAGTGGGTCCAAGCGATGAGCCAACGCCTGTGCTGGGAACAGGATTTGGGGTTTAGTGCTTTAGTGGCTGGCATCACCAGAGACCCAGAAACCCAGCATTCTCGGGGGAATGGCGCTGTATTTGGGCCCTTCGGCTGGAACTTCTGAGGGAACAGCGCTTGATTTGAGATCTTTCATGCTCACGAGGTTGGCCCCTTCAACCCTGGAAAAAAAATCCAGCACACATCATCCTTCAGGCAGCTATGGAACCATGATGACCAAACTACGAATCACCTTGCAAGCTTCTCGTGGGCTTTGTGTACAAGCAGAACCCTAAACCCTAAACAGAATAGAAACACAGTTCAAGAACAGCACTGAGTCGAGCCGGGCTAAAAAGCCGAAGCGCCTTGAGGCGCTTCGCGTCCGCCACGACGTCGTCGGAGTGGCACAGGTTCCTTCGAGTTAGTCCGCGAGCGGGGGCGAGATGGGGTGGCTGGTTAGGGAAGACGTAAGGCTACAACCGACTCACGCTGCAACAGTTCAGGAACATACTATGAACATACTATACTATACCAGAAGTATACTATTGATACTATAATTAAACGATGTGAGAGGGAAGACCGGGCAGGCAGTCTTTTTACAACAACGGGGCCTGTCGTGCTCTTGAATCGAAGGAGGGAGAGAAAGAACGTCTACACAGGAGGGTTTAGGGTCTAGGGTTCAGGGTTTAGGGTTTAGGGGTGTTTCGGGCTTTCGGGATGCATGGGGGACGGTTGTGGGAAGCTTGAGACTGCTTGCAGTGGGTTTAGGGTTTATGGGTTGGGATGTTCACCCCTTATACTAACAGTCCTTAATAAGGATTATAATAGGGGGCACTAGAATCCCTATTAAGGACTGCTAGTATAACGGGGAACACGCAAATTTATAGGGCCCAAGGCTTTAGGACAAGTCTCTCGTTGCAGATCGACCAGATCACAATGCTGGGATGGTTTCGGTCTCGCTTGATCATGACCTCCACACGTCAGCTGCAACAGGACTGGGCACATAGGGGTTCAGGGGCTCAAGGGTTTAGGGGTTTAAGGGTTTGGGGGTCTAGGGGTTTAGGGGTATGCTCTCTGCACATCTTCAGGCCTGACAACTGTGGTCAAGGAATGGGACGTGGAAAACTAGCTAAAGATTGCTACTTCTCCTTGGCAGGCGTTACACGTGCGCATCTATGTGCGTGGAAGTTGCACGCGAACACTCTCAGACACTGACACTGACACTGACCCTGACGCTGACACCGACACGCCGACACTGACACTGAAACTGACACGGACTCGGGAAGTTCAAGTCGTCGCATGCGAGGCGCAACATGCCAAGGCAATTGTGTGCTCACGCGCCACATACGAAGTGTCGCACCTTCTCATCAAAACTGCCACACATCTAGCATGCTGGAACTCCCGACGATCCATCTCAGCGCTCCTGAAAGAGAAGATGCCTACAGTACAGCTTTTCTAGAAGCTCACGATACCCGAACAAGTGCTTCATTTCGTCAAAGACCTAAACCCTAAACCCTAAACCTGGGACCTCCATCTCCTCATCCTGGCCATTGCGGTGGTTCTCTGCCCAGACCAGGATGCCCTGGAACAGTCTCGGGGGGGGTGTTCTACAACCTACTGTGAAACGTGGCTTAGGGTTTAGGGTTTAGGGTTTAGGGTTATCCCTAAATCAGGCCTACCTCGGTCTAGTTGGAGCCCCAGATAAAAGCCTAACATGACCCAGGCGTGGGGAACATCTAAGTACGACTAGCTTCGAAGGACCCGGCACCTTCATCGGAACTCCCCGCGCTTCTGCTTGGGGTTTAGGGCATAAGGTTTAGGGTTTTTTCCGGGTTTAGGGTCATGGAGCTGCAGATTCCGTAGAACCAGTTTGGGCTACGTAGACCCACATTTGTGCAACAAGTGCCCCTCTTGGGGGAGGTTACGGCGCTTGTACGAAATTGAGGAAACCTCGACTAGGGATGAAAAACCTAATAGCTATCGGCACCTCACAATGTTCGGTACGAGCACCTCATAGTATATAAGAAGAGTACCAATACAAAGCCTGGAACCCTAAACCCCAAACCCCAAACCCCGAACTCTAAACCCTAAATCCTAAACCCTAAACCCTCCTAAAGCCCTCAATCCTACAGCCCTACACACCGTGGACCGGTGGCTGAAGCTTTGAAACCTCAGCCCTTTGCATCCGCAAACGCCTCCTCGTCGGCTGCCTGGAGGAGAGCCTGCCAGCAACCAAGGGTTTAGGGTTTAGGGTTTAGGGTTTAAAGGGTCTAGGGTCTAGGGTTCAGGGTTTGGGGGTTCTGGGTTTAGCAACTCGCGCAAATCTCGGGCAAACATTTCACTACTCGCACAAATCCCCCTCACAAATCTCGGGCGAGGCTCTTGGTTCCAAGTCTGGATGGAAGCCTACAGATCTAGGTTTCCCGACGCCGACACAAACCAAGCCAACCAGAGGTTGAGGCAAGCTGATTATTGCCACTGATTATTGCCATGCCACCAGTAACCATATTACCCCCGGCCCCCAACAACAAAAAACGGAGGCGCGAGCCCTTTCCTAAGCCGCAACCCCCTCTTATCACAGGGGCTGAGGATCCAGGGCCCGGCACTCTGAGCCCAAGGGTTGGTTGAAGCAAACCTCTGATGCACACCTACTGAAAAGGGGCTGACGGTTTTTAGGGTTGAGGCTTTTGGGGTCTCGGGCTCTTAGGGTTTAGGAAGTTTAGGGTTTAGGGCTGGATTTAAACTGTTTGGAGTTTATGGGCTGCAGCCACATCTTTCGCCCAGGGGGCCACGGCCGGACTGTTAAATTCAGGTCACTCTTGTGCCAGCTTCGTTGCCCTCTGCCTTTACCCAAACCCATGTAAACCCTGCATTCGCATCCCTTCCGGCTTGCCTTTTGCCGCAAGAAGCCCTGCTGAGACCCCTAGGTAGAACCCCCCCAACCCGAATCCCCCCCAAAAAGACCACAAGACTCTAAATCAAAGCTTCTAAACATTCCCAGACAAAACCTGAAATCAACCCTTTGAAGCTGCTGTCATCTAGGCTTTGGACATGGGTTTCTTGAACAGAAATTAGAGCTCGGTACAATACTGTCATCTAGGCGCTCCAACAACACCCTACTGCCCGGCGCCTCGTTGTGGGGATTGTGCGCCGTGCGAAAGCCGTTGGCACCAAACTCTTTCAACTTCCGGAGCCTGTGAACCTGGCTTAGGGTTTAGGGTTTAGGGTTTCGGGTTTAGGGTTCAGGGTTTAGGGTTTAGGGTTCAGGGCTAGATGAACCTCTTGAAGAATACCGGTATCTCCCCTCATCCATTGCTAATGTTGCTTCTTCAACCCCCAAACCCTAAACCCTAAACATCTGAAATCTCGAGTCTGCACAACAGGGCACCCCTAAGCCTCTTAGCCTCCTAGCCCTGTCTATGGTCCTAGGGCTGCCAACAGCGTAGTGAACTGCTCATCTGATTGTTCCTGGACCCTTGAAACCCGAAGAGAACCCCGATCCTACCTGTAGGTGATCCGGAACAGCCACACCCACGGCCGCAAAGTCCTGGCACTTCGTTGCTGGGCTTCAGGGGTCTTGGCGGTTTTTGGCTTTCGAATCATACGGGCATTGAAAAGGAACCTTATATACACTCACCAAAAAACAGTAAGATAAACCCTGCTTCATGTAACTTTTCTAGCAAATTTTTCGAAGAGTTTTACGGCTTCGTGGCTGAGAGAGTGAAGCTTAAATTGTCGGGTTGCAGTCCCCAAGCCCTACAATTTTGTGGGTGATAACCGCTTTAATGCATGTGGAGTACTGCGTAGATAGACCACAGGTAGCTCAGGCCGTAGGCCGCACGGGCACAATGCCAGGGGATGGAGCAACCGGCCGCGACATGCAGTTGGGACTAGGAGGGCAGGGGCGCGAATTCCAGTCACAAATCCTTCTTGGACACAAACATCTTGGGGTTTAGGGTTTAGGGTTTAATGGAGCTAAACATATCCTCCCTGAACCCACAGAGGCCGCAACGCCACAGACTTCAAGGTAACCCACAGCCCACCTCAACACAGCAATCTAATATTTGCTCTAATATTTGCTCAAGAGCCACCGCAAAAAGCCAAACTATTCCTCCTCAGGGATATATGGAATTGTTGTATCTGTTTTTGCTTTTTTTGGCGGGGGTGTTCTTAAGAAACTAGAAGTAAAAAAGAGATCATTAGTCTTGTACAACTGAACAAAAATGTTCTTAAGGGTTCCAAAACACCTCATTCAGAACCATATATAGTAGAAATAGAAACAACACATTCACAACGGGCTGAGAAACAAACATAACAGTACCATGAAACTCTAAACATCACCCAACCCTGTGTCCTGGTGGTTTGCTGTCCCAAGAATCTTCGTGGGCACGCCGTTGAGGACAAACCCCTTGTTGGGGTCCCAGGCCACAGTTCCTTGTCTAGGGCTTTCAGGTTTTAGGGTGAGGTTCCGATCATAGCAGGGCTTTCTCAATCCTGAACTCCTCAACCCGAAACCGCAAGTTTAAGTACGGGCCCTTAATTTGGCTCCCTTGTAATATAACCCTTTACATACACTATGCATATTGGGGCCCATACTTCGGATCCCTCTGAGCTCAAAGGAGAGTCATACTCATACCGCTGAGGATCCCTTAGAGAATCCTTAAAACGGGGCCCTAAACCCAAAGGATGCGACCTTAGTGGTCCAAGGTAGAACCCCATCACGAAGAAGGGTATAGAAGGACCATACTGGGGCCCCATGGTTCCCTCCGACCTTAAATTTACGGTTTAACCAGGATCTTCAGGAGTTCAGGGTTTAGGGTTAAGAGTTTAGGGTTTAGGGTGTAGAGAGGATAGGGTGCAGGTTTCGTTTGCGTTCTCGCCGTGTTTGCTATACCTATTCAAGCCCCAAGCCGCACTGAAGAAGACAGACTCATGGCTTCCGAACTCCCCCTAATATGTATTTACCCAGGCTCCCCGGAACCCTCTCTATCATATGTCACTGTTAGCTTTAATGACTTCGCGGTTCAATGCCAAAAAGTCGTGGTTCAAGCCCAAAAGCTGGGGTGGTTCAAGTCCAAAAGCTCGTGGTCGAGGTGTGGGGGTTTCGGGTTTCGGGGTGTGTCCGGGCCTCAAGGCCTGGGGTTTAGGGTTTCAGGGCCTCAGGGCCTGGGGTTTAGGGTTTCACTTACTAACCAATGCTAACGGTACTTATAACCCCACTTATAAAACCCCTAAAGGGCCTTATAGGGGTTATCCCTATCATAAGTAGGGTTATAAGCCCAGTTATAAGTGGTTATTAAGTCCCATGAACCTCCAAGAACCCTAAACCCTAAGCCCTAAACCCTAAACCCTAAACCCTAAACCCTAAACCCTAAACCCTAAACCCTAAACCCTAAGCCCCTTACATCCTCAGATCGCTTATCATGGACGCGGCTCGGACGCCGAACGTCACGGACACCTGGTCCTGTGAGCTGGTGCTTGAGATGCTGACCTCGGTTTAGGGTTTAGGGTTTAGGGTTTAGGGTTTAGGGTTTAGGGTTTAGGGTTTAGGGTTTAGGGTTTAGGGTTTAGGGTTTAGGGTTTAGGGTTTAGGGTTTAGGGTGGAGGCGTTTGGGATCGAGGCTTTGGAGCAAGTTCGCTTGAGGTGGGGTTTCGGGATTAGGGTTCAGGGTTAGAACTTTCGACTGGTCATGCAGTTTCAATGCTTCTCCAAGCTCACGCCTGTGCTAGAAAGAACCCAAGTACGGACCACAAGAAGCCCTAACCCTGGTTCCTAAACCCAAAACCCTAAACCCCCGACTCCAACACGAAACTCGAAAGCCCAAGCCCTGACCCTGGTCAAGCTTGAGCAAGGTATCAAGCAGTTTACAGAGTGTTCTGAAGCCCAGCGTCTCCATTCCCTCTTAAGCACCAGTAAGCTGAAGCACTATAGGCCCGAAACCATAAACCCTAACACTATCTCGTTATGCCATAGTCTTACAAAATCACTATTACTATTACACCTTCAAAAAACACATTCTTCTACTATTCTTTCATGACAGCATCATGATTTCCATTACAATAAAGTGGCCTAAACCGAACAAGCCATGCCATCCAGAGGAGGGGGCTTCAAGACGATAGAGTGCAGGGTGCGCAGGAGACCAAAGAGAGGCTCCTGGAGGCAGCTTTTAGGGTCTTTAGAGGCTTTTAGGGTTTAGGGTTTAGGGTTTAGGGTTTAGGGTTTAGGGTTTAGGGTTTAGGGTTTAGGGTTTAGGGTTTATAGGGCTGCTTCGAAACAGGGTTCAGGGTATAGGGCTTGGTGTCTGGGCTTGAGGGCCTTTAGGGTTTAGGGCTTGTGAGGGTTTAGGGTCGTTAGGGTTCAGGGTTGGGGGGCCTTCAGGGTCTTACTCGGATCATATGCCCTAGTTGGGCCCTATTTGGGATTCTTATTCTGAGGCGCGCTTGGTTCACATCGAGTGTTTTCGCTTCGGCGTTTGGGGGTTCGAGCCTCAGGTCCTAAGTAGGTCGGGCTGAAATATAGGGCTTGGGGTTTAGGGTTTAGGGTTTAGGGTTGAGGGTTTAGGGAATCCCGGCTGGTTGCATAAAGAACCCGGATCATCCCGAAGCCTAAGACTCCAACACTCAAGGGAGTCATACTCGGACTCTTAAGGATGCACCCCTGAGAGGCTCAATCAATGTACTCCTAACATGGCCCTAATATTTCCCATAGAGACTCTTTAACAAGGGTCCCCAAACCCCAAGCAAGAAACACAGAAGTGCTCAACCACAGCTTAAACCTAAACCCTACAGTGCGTAGCAACCAACCCTTCAATCTTTGCGCACGCGCCCTTGGAAACCCTAAACCCTATAAAAAATAAGGCCTACTGTCCCCGGGTACAAAATGAAAACCCCAACATTGGGATCATGGACCCTGTGCTACTATCGTGCCTATGAAGGATATGTGAACCATGAACCCTTTTAGGTAAACTATTTGCTTAAGAACACCAAAAACAATGCAGAATGATAATCCCTATATTGCCCTTGTAAGGAATAATGTCCTGCTTGTTTTGGGGTTCTTAGGCAAGTACGAGGGGCTCGTCCTTAAGGGCCCTGGGTGAATCGGACTGGCCTGGCATTTGCAGACTCCGAAGGCTAATCTCGGTGGTTGCATTGCCAGCGGCCGTGGCGGCAGACACCTGGCACACTTTCAGAGGGGCTCCTAAACCCTAAACCCTAAACCCTAAACCCTAAACCCTAAACCCTAAACCCTTGGGAGAGCTCTGCCTTAAAGGGTTTGGGATCTGTAGGGTTTAGGGTTTAGAATTTGGGGTTCCGAGCTAAACCCTAAACCCTAAACTGCACCCAATGTGTCTCACAAGCACATCGAGGCCCTCCCTTCTTTTCGTGGCTGCCTGGCTCGCGACAACTGCGCCGCCGGATGTCTTCACCGTGCAAGTCACCTCGAGCTGGATTAGGGTTTAGGGTTTAGGGTTTGGGGTTTTTGGGTTCGGGGTTTAGGGTTGGGTTTTGGGTTTGGGTTGTTGAAAGGGCCAGGGTTTAGGCTTTCGGCTGTCGGAAAACTAGCATCCCCAAAACACTCGCCAATATCCCCCCTAAGGAGCCCCTGTCTACCCTCACCAATCCTTAAGTGTTGACACGAGCTTTCTTCAGATAGATTGAGGCTTCGAGGGCTCCTGGCAACACGGGACGGCAGGGTTCCAGTTGTTTAAGCCTGACACCTTATCCGAACTGGATTCCTAACCAAACCCTATCAGCCTACAAAGCCTACCTTGTTAACTCTGTAGTGCATGCCCTAAAGATGGATCCTAGAGGGATAAACACAGTTGAGATCATAACATGAGAACAAAGTGAGAACATAAGAAGGCTCATAAGATCAACCGCTCCTTCTATGAAAACAAGTTTGCCATCCATTTTGAGAGCTTGCTTAGTGTCCATCCTCCCTGTGATGTAAACAGTCTGCTTATACACACCACCCGTCCTCTCTCTCATTTCCCGCTCATTTTCCGGACACGCTCTGCCTCATGTGTTGCTCATCTTAATACTACTGTCTGGGTCTTCTTATTCTCGTTGGTTCTCGCAGATAGCTGGTCTTTCCTTCCAGCAGTAAACACCCACTGGCCTGAGTGCTCACGTGGGTTTGGGCTTAGCCTTGGCGCCAGAACCCAAACCTCGACTTTCTGCAAACTTGCAGCCCTTTTCAACCCCGGCCTCCGCACTGGAATACCGGAAGAAACCCAACATGCAAAATGCTTCGGCAACCCCACGACTACTAGCGCCAAATCCCAAGAAAGAGTATCTAGAAGCAAGTACTCCCCTCAACTGCCTCCAAGTTCTCTGTCGCATTCCTTGGATTCCCGGCCAGCAGATTCTACTTTGGGGGGATTTAGGGTGGGTTTAGGGATACTGCGCTTTTTTGCATGTGTAGCGACAGCCAGCCACATACTGCTTTTCTAGCTTCACGGCTCCTGGCCTAAACCCTAAACACCCTTATGTAACCCTACATGCCTTGCCACGCAGTGCGTCCCACAATTCACACGCCAAGCATCCTTTTGTTCCGGAACGCCACAATTGGGTGCACCTGAAGGGTTTGGTGCCGTAGGTTTCTTAGCTGATATTTGGGGCTGAGGGTCAGAGTTATTGAGCGCTGTTTTCGGATATTGAGCGCTGTTTTCGGGTTGAGCGATTATAGTGGTTTGCCTTCAACGCCGGTTTCACTGTAGGTTGCTGAAAAACGGTACCACGTGTGTGCATATGCATATACATATGTATATATTTATATGTGTATATATATATATATATATGTAAACTCTTTCAAATTTAATGTATATTTATGTATACTTCTTAAGCTTTGTATGTATGTATGTATGTATGTATGTATGTATGTATTTACGTGCAGGCTGCCATGGCAGCCACAAAGCTTTTCGCTGACCGGGCAAAACGTGCCAAGGAGGGAAAAGGAGCGATGCCTCCGGGGAACCACATGTTCACGCATGGGCGGCCATGGTGCGTGTGGCCATGGAAGACTCGGCGCTTGCCGAAGGAACATCGCAATGGCGCTGTGAATCCGGAAGCCATGTTGCATTCAGTTTCCGTGTGCAGACTGCGCAAAGCCTATGACCGTGACACGATGAAAGTGTTCTTCTCTGTGCACAGGAAGGCTGAAGCAGAACTGAGTTCCGTCAAGAAGGGGCTTGTGGCGCAAGGTGCTAAGGAGAAGATGGGGCAAGCGCCGCGTGCCGGCTTAGAGCGTGAAGTACAAGAAGTGATTGATGACCTCACCGCTACATACACATAACATATGTGTGTATGTGTATACATATATATATCGGTGTGTAGCTCAGCACAAGAGGACACACAGAGGTGCAAGGGTTTGGGCTTAGGGCTCAAACAGGGTGAGCCCGTGAACTCTCCCGCAGCCTCCGCATCTGCGTTCGCTTCCGCCCCGCGCAGTGGGACTGACACCCGAGCCGGGGCGTAGACGCCCCAAGGGGCGACGTGCACCTCAGGGTTTTAGGGTTTAGGGTTTAGCGTTTATATAGGGTTTAGGGTTTAGGGTTAGGGGCCCTTGTAGCAGCTTCAAGTTGTAACAGAAACACCTCGACAAGGGATCGAAGGGACCCGAATTTCTAGCTTCTTGGAGCAAGCCCCAGTTGTTGAGGTCGGGCTCAGAGTCCAACCAACTCTATAAAACCCCTTTCCCTTGTTGAATGCAAAGCCCTAAACCCTAAACTGCCCTAAGAAAGCCCTAACAACCCTGAACCATCAAACCCTAAACACTAAACCCTAAACCCTGAACCCTGAACCCTAAACCCTAAACCCTAAACCCCTGAGGCCAAGGAGTGGAATCCACGGCACGGGATCGGCGACTGTAAGCCAGACATGGCGATAGATGCCTGGCAGCGAGGAACCATTGGCTGGTTCTTAGTCGAGAAGGAGGGAATGAGGTACCCTACATCATCCTTTAAGGGTTTAGGGTTAGGGTTTAGGGTTTAGGGTTTAGGGTTTAGGGTTTAGGGTTTAGGGTTTAGGGTTTAGGGTTTAGGGTTTAGGGTTTAGGGTTTAGGGTTTAGGGTTTAGGGCTTAGGGCTTAGGGTTTAGGGTTTAAATCAATATCATGGGTGTTTTGTGGTTCCTCAAGAAGGACTCTACTAGAGAAACCCATTCACCCGTACTCACTCACTCACTCTGCCCGAAGCACCAGCAAGGGAAACCGCGAAGCTGATAAAAGATGATCTGTAGCTGTTATGCTTCATGGCGAAAGAGCGGTCACTTTAGTCAGGTGGATATAAGGCGCCTAATTCCTCAATTCCCTACCAAGAAAGAAAGTCAGCAAACCCTATTACACCTTTTTTTGAGGAGAGACTGCAGTCCCTAAACCCTATTAAACCCTGAAACCCTAAACCCTGAAACCCTGCAACCCTAAAACCCCGAAAAACCCTACAACCCTAAAACCTCAAAAACCCTGAAACCCTACCCTCAGGCGATATGATCCCTAAGCCCAATGGTTCCTTGCCGTCAGGCATCTACCCCTCAAACCCCTTAAGCCCTAATGCCTACAACCCTAAATCACTACCTTCAGATCCTAAACCCTCTAGAACTCGTGGTTCCTCGTTATATACATATATGTATACATGTATATATATATATATATATATGCAGCTCTATATATATATATATATATATATATATAGTCTTAAACTCTACTACGCTTGCGGGTTTAGGGAGGGGGTCTGCGCATCTGGGACTCTTGACTGTAAAAATGCTCTCCGTGGGCCTCCGCCATCGTACCACCACCCGTCGGGGGAGGTCGCATCAGCATGCACTGCCAGCACGTTGCTGCAGTCCGGCCTAGAGCTTTAGGGATGTTAGGGTTTAGGGTTTAGGGCTAGCTTCTTTGCCTGGAGCTTGGGGGAATGCCTTGCTCTATTAGGGTTTAGGGCTAGCTTCTTTCAATGAATCCGGCTCCATCACGTAAGGCCCATTGATCCCCTCCCCTCACCCCCCCCCCCCCCCCCCCCCCCTCCCCCCAAGGTGCCTGGGTTCTAGAAGATGAAGCATGATCCCTAAACCCTAAACCCTAAACCCTAAACCCTAAACCCTAAACCCTAAACCCTAAACCCTAAACCCAAATTCCAGGCGAGCTGCGTCAGCTTGGCCACGCCCAGGTCTACAAGGAAGGGTGTGTAGCCGGAGCCATGGCCACCAAGATACACGCCATTCAGCCACACCTGTTCTTGGTTGCACTTAGGAGGGTAGTAAAAAAATAATCCGCCGACCCCAGCAGCAGCGGGGCGGCGTCAGTGAAGACCCATTTTTGTCCGCTCTAGGGGCTTTAGTGCATGGCCCCTTCCCTTCCCCCCCTCCACCCCCACACACACCCTGCCCATCCCATGCTACGCTCTTCGCGCCCGCTCCGCCCACCTCGCCTATGGCCCGCACTGCCCTTGCTGCCCGCCCACCCCGCTCATGGCTCCACCGCTTGCTCCGCTCTTCCCGCCCGTACTGCCCTTCTCATGGCCGCATGGTCCCCAAGGGCGTACCCTCCTCACCCCCACCCCGACTCCCACCCCCACATACACCCTGCCTATGGGTCCCTTCCTATGGCCCTATGGGCTGCCGCCCCCTCCGCTTGCTCCGCTTGCTCCGCTCTTCCCGCCCGTACGGCTCTTCTCATGGCCCCATGGTCCTGAAGGGCGTACGGCTCCATGGCTCCATGGCTCCGCCCTTCCCGCCCGCACTGCTTCTCATGGCCTCAAGGGCTCATGGCCCCATGGCTGCATGGTCCCATGGCCCCAGGCCCTTGGAGTCTGAGCTGAATTTTAGGGCTCGAGTGCATGCCCGCGCCCTCCGCTTGCTCCGCCCTTCCCGCCCGCACTGCCCTTCTCATGGCGCCGTGGTCTCCAAGGGCTCGCCATGGTCCCATGGCCCCACCCTATCAGCTGAATTCCCTCCGCTGGCTCTGCCCTTCCCGCCCTTCCCGCCCGCACTGCTTCTCATGGCCTCCAGGGCTCATGGCCCCATGGCTGCATCCCGCCCCATGGCTCCCATGGCTTCACGGCTTTGGACCCAGCTGACTTTGAAGGGTCCCAGTGCCTGCCCGCCCTCTCCGCCCTCCCCGCCCCCTCCGCCCTTTCCGCCCCCTCCACCCTTCCCGCTCCGCCCCATCCGCCCTTCCCGCTCCATGGCGCCGCCCTTTCCGCCCTTTCCGCCCCCTCCGCCCTTCCCGCTCCATGGCGCTCCATGGCTCCATGGTCCCATGGTCCCATCCCGCCCGGCTTCAGACCTTATCATCCGCCTTCTCCGCCGCCTCTGCCCTTCCTTTGCCCCCCCATGGCCTCATGGCCCCATGCCTCTCACCCTCAATGATGGCCCCATGGCTCCATGGTCCTTGGGACCCTCCCTTGGGACCCTCTCAGCTGACTTTTTACAGGGTCCCAGCATGCTCTCCGCCCTCCCCGCCCCTCCGCCCTTTCCGCCCTTTCCGCCGCCTTCCCGCTCCGCCCCCTCCGCCCTTCCCGCTCCATGGCGCTCCATATGGTTCCCGCCCCCTCCGCCCTTCCCGCCCCATGGCGCTCCTGGTTTCATTGGTCCCATGCCCCATGGCTCCCACGGCCTCATGTCCCTGCACCTTTTCCTCCGCCTTCTCCGCCGCCTCTGCCCTTCCTTTACCCCCCATGGCTCACCCTTAATGGCTCATGGCCCCATGGCTCCATGGTCCCATCCCACCCCAAGGGTCCCAGTGCATGCCCGCCCTCTCCGCCCTCCCCGCCCCCTCCGCCCTTTCCGCCCTTTCCGCCCCCTCCGCCCTTCCCGCTCCGCCCCCTCCGCCCTTCCCGCTCGCGCCCCCTCCGCCCATGGCGCTCCATGGCTTCATTGGTCCCATGCCCCATGGCTCCCACGGCCTCACGTCCCTGCACCTTTTCATCCGCCTTCTCCGCCGCCTCTGCCCTTCCTAATGGCTCATGGCCCCATGGCTCCATGGTCCCATCCCGCCCCATGGCTCCCATGGCTTCACGGCTTTGGACCCTATCATGGCCCCATGCCTCTCACCCTCAACCGCCCCATGGCGCTCCATGGCTTCTCCCACGCCTCACGTCTGGACCTTTTCATCCGCCTTCTCCGCCGCCTCTGCCCTTCCTAATGGCTCTCACGGCTTTGGACCCTATCAGCTGACTTTAAAGGGTCCCAGTGCATGCCCGCCCTCTCCGCCCTCCCCGCCCTTTCCGCCCTTTCCGCCCTTCCCGCTCCATGGCGCTCCATGGCTCCATGGTCCCATGGTCCCATCCCGCCCGGCTTCAGACCTTATCATCCGCCTTCTCCGCCGCCTCTGCCCTTCCTTTGCCCCCCCATGGCCTCATGGCCCCATGCCTCTCACCCCCTCCGCCTTTTCCGCCCTTTCCGCCCCCTCCGCCCTTCCCGCTCCGCCCCCTCCGCCCTTCCCGCTCCATGGCGCTCCATATGGTTCCCGCCCCCTCCGCCCTTCCCGCCCCATGGCGCTCCTGGCTTCATTGGTCCCATGCCCCATGGCTCCCACGGCCTCACCATGGCCTCATGGCCCCATGCCTCTCACCCTTATGGCTCATGGCCCCATGGCTCCATGGTCCCATCCCGCCCATGGCTCCCATGGCTTCACGGCTTTCTATCAGCTGACTTTCAAGGGTCCCAGTGCATGCCCGCCCTCTCCGCCCTCCCCGCCCCCTCCGCCCTTTCCGCCCTTTCCGCCCCCTCCGCCCTTCCTGCTCCATGGCGCTCCATCGCTCCATGGTCCCATGGCCCCATCCCGCCCGGCTTCAGACCTTATCATCCGCCTTCTCCGCCGCCTCCTTCCTTTGCCCCCCCATGGCCTCATGGCCCCATGCCTCTCACCCTCAATGGCTCATGGCCCCATGGCTCCATGGTCCCATCCCGCCGCATGGCTCCCATGGCTTCACCTTGAAACCCTCTCAGCTGACTTTAAAGGGTCGCAGTGCATGCCCGCCCTCTCCGCCCTCCCCGCCCCTCCGCCCTTTCCGCCCTTTCCGCCCCCTCCACCCTTCCCGCTCCGCCCCCTCCGCCCTTCCCGCTCCATGGCGCTCCATATGGTTCCCGCCCCCTCCGCCCATGGCGCTCCTGGCTTCATTGGTCCCATGCCCCATGGCTCCCACGGCCTCATGTCCCTGGACCTTTTCCTCCGCCTTCTCTCACCCTTAATGGCTCATGGCCCCATGGCTCCATGGTCCCATCCCGCCCCATGGCAGCCATTTGGACCCTATCAGCTGACTTTAAAGGGTCCCAGTGCATGCCCGCCCTCTCCGCCCTCCCCGCCCCCTCCGCCCTTTCCGCCCTTTCCGCCCCCTCCGCCCTTCCCGCTCCGCCCCCTCCGCCCTTCCCGCTCCATGGCGCTCCATATGGTTCCCGCCCCCTCCGCCCTTCCCGCCCCATGGCGCTCCATGGCTTCATTGGTCCCATGCCCCATTGGCTCCCACGGCCTCACGTCCCTGCACCTTTTCATCCGCCTTCTCCGCCGCCTCTGCCCTTCCTAATGCCTCATGGCCCCATGGCTCCATGGCCCCATCCCGCCCCATGGCTCCCATGGCTTCACGGCTTTGGACCCTGTCAGCTAACTCTTTAAAGGGTCGCAGTGCATGCCCGCCCTCTCCGCCCTCCCCGCCCCCTCCGCCCTTTCCGCCCTTTCCGCCCCCTCCGCCCTTCCCGCTCCACGGCGCTCCATGGCTCCATGGTCCCATGGCCCCATGGTCCCATCCTGCTTCAGACCTTATCATCCGCCTTCTCCGCCGCCTCTGCCCTTCCTTGCCCCCCCATGGCCTCATGGCTCCATGCCTCTCACCCTCAACCGCCCCATGGCGCTCCATGGCTTCTCCCACGCCTCACGTCTGGACCTTTTCATCCGCCTTCTCCGCCGCCTCTGCCCTTCCTAATGGCTCATGGTTCCATGGCTCCATGGTCCCATCCCACCCCATGGCTCCCATGGCTTTGGACCCTATCAGCTGACTTGAAAGGGTCCCAGTGCATGCCCGCCCTCTCCGCCCTCCCCGCCTCCGCCCTTTCCGCCCTTTCCACCCCCTCCGCCTTTCCCGCTCCATGGCTCCATGGTCCCATGGCCCCATGGTCCCATCCCGCCCGGCTTCAGACCCTTCTCCGCCGATGGCTCATGGCCCCATGGCTCCATGGTCCCACCGCATGGCTCCCATGGCTTCACGGCTTTGGACCCTATCAGCTGACTGTAAAGGGTCCCAGTGCATGCCCGCCCTCTCCGCCCTCCCCGCCCCCTCCGCCCTTTCCGCCCTTTCCGCCCCCTCCGCCCTTCCCGCTCCATGGCGCTCCATGGCTCCATGGTCTCATGGTCCCATCCCGCCCGGCTTCAGACCTTATCATCCGCCTTCTCCGCCCGCCATGGCCTCATGGCCCCATGCCTCTCACCCTCAATGGCTCATGGCCCCATGGCTCCATGGTCCCAGCCGCCCCATGGCTCCCATGGCTTCACCTTCTTGGGACCCTCTCAGCTGACTTTAAAGGGTCCCAGTGCATGCCCGCCCTCTCCGCCCTCCCCGCCCCTCCGCCCTTTCCGCCCTTCCCGCTCCATGGCGCTCCATATATGGTTCCCGCCCCCTCCGCCCTTCCCGCCCCATGGCTCCCACGGCCTCATGTCCCTGGACCTTTTCCTCCGCCCCCCATGGCCTCATGGCCCCATGCCTCTCACCCTTAATGGCTCATGGCCCCATGGCTCCATGGTCCCATCCCGCCCCATGGCTCCCATGGCTTCACGGCTTTGGACCCTATCAGCTGACTTTAAAGGGTCCCAGTGCATGCCCGCCCTCTCCGCCCTCCCCGCCCCCTCCGCTCTTTCCGCCCTTTCCGCCCCCTCCGCCCTTCCCGCTCCATGGCGCTCCATATCATATGGTTCCCATGGCTCCCACGGCTCACGTCCCTGCACCTTTTCATCCGCCTTCTCCGCCGCCTCTGCCCTTCCTAATGGCTCATGGCCCCATGGCTCTCATGGCCCCATGCCTCTCACCCTCAACCGCCCCATGGCGCTCCATGGCTTCTCCCACGCCTCACGTCTGGACCTTTTCATCCGCCTTCTCCGCCGCCTCTGCCCTTCCTAATGGCTCATGGCCCCATGGCTCCATGGTCCCATCCCGCCCCATGGCTCCCATGGCTTCACGGCTTTGGACCCTATCAGCTGACTTTAAAGGGTCCCAGTGCATGCCCGCCCTCTCCGCCCTCCCCGCCCCCTCCGCCCTTTCCGCCCTTTCCGCCCCCTCCGCCCTTCCCGCTCCATGGCGCTCCAGTCCCTGGACCTTTTCCTCCGCCTTCTCTCACCCTTAATGGCTCATGGCCCCATGGCTCCATGGTCCCATCCCGCGCCATGGCTCCCATGGCTTCACGGCTTTGGACCCTATCAGCTGACTTTAAAGGGTCCCAGTGCATGCCCGCCCTCTCCGCCCTCCCCGCCCCCTCCGCCCTTTCCGCCCCCTCTGCCCTTCCCACTCCGCCCCCTCCGCCCTTCCCGCTCCATCTGGCGCTCCATATGGTTCCCGCCCCCTCCGCCCCTCCCGCCCCATGGCGCTCCATGGCTTCATTGGTCCCATGCCCCATGGCTCCCACGGCCTCACGTCTGCACCTTTTCATCCGCCTTCTCCGCCGCCTCTGCCCTTCCTAATGGCTCATGGCCCCATGCCTCTCACCCTCAATGGCTCATGGCCCCATGGCTCCATGGTCCCATCCCGCCCCATGGCTCCCATGGCTTCACCTTGGGGCCCTCTCAGCTGACTTTAAAGGGTCCCAGTGCATGCCCGCCCTCTCCGCCCTCCCCGCCCCTCCGCCCTTTCCGCCCTTTCCGCCCCCTCTGCCCTTCCCGCTCCGCCCCCTCCGCCCTTCCCGCTCCATATGGTTCCCGCCCCCTCCGCCCTTCCCGCCCCACGGCGCTCCTGGCTTCATTGGTCCCATGCCCCATGGCTCCCACGGCCTCATGTCCCTCTGGACGTTTCCTCCGCCTTCTCCGCCGCCTCTGCCCTTCCTTTACCCCCCCCATGGCCTCATGGCCCCATGCCTCTCACCCTTAATGGCTCATGGCCCCATGGCTCCATGGTCCCATCCCGCCCCATGGCTCCCATGGCTTCACGGCTTTCTATCAGCTGACTTTAAAGGGTCCCAGTGCATGCCCGCCCTCTCCGCCCTCCCCGCCCCCTCCGCCCTTCCCGCTCCATCTGGCGCTCCATATGGTTCCCGCCCCCTCCGCCCCTCCCGCCCCATGGCGCTCCATGGCTTCATTGGTCCCATGCCCCATGGCTCCCACGGCCTCACGTCTGCACCTTTTCATCCGCCTTCTCCGCCGCCTCTGCCCTTCCTAATGGCTCATGGCCCCATGGCTCCATGGTCCCATCCCGCCCCATGGCTCCCATGGCTTCACGGCTTTGGACCCTATCAGCTGACTTAAAGGGTCCCAGTGCATGCCCGCCCTCTCCGCCCTCCCCGCCCCCTGGCGCTCCATGGCTCCATGGTCCCATGGCCCCATGGTCCCATCCCGCCCGGCTTCAGACCTTATCATCCGCCTTCTCCCTGCCCTTCCTTGCCCCCCCATGGCCTCATGGCCCCATGCCTCTCACCCTCAACCGCCCCATGGCGCTCCATGGCTTCTCCCAGCCCTTCCCGCTCCATGGCGCTCCATGGCTCCATGGTCCCATGGCCCCATGGTCCCATCCCGGACCTTATCATCCGCCTTCTCCGCCGCCTCTGCCCTTCCTTGCCCCCCCATGGCCTCATGGCCCCATGCCTCTCACCCTCAACCGCCCCATGGCGCTCCATGGCTTCTCCCACGCCTCACGTCTGGACCTTTTCATCCGCCTTCTCCGCCGCCTCTGCCCTTCCTAATGGCTCATGGCCCCATGGCTCCATGGTCCCATCCCGCCCCATGGCTCCCATGGCTTCACGGCTTTGGACCCTATCAGCTGACTTTAAAGGGTCCCAGTGCATGCCCGCCCTCTCCGCCCTCCCCGCCCCCTCCGCCCTTTCCGCCCTTTCCGCCCCCGCCGCCCTTCCCGCTCCATGGCGCTCCATGGCTCCATGGTCCCATGGCCCCATGGTCCCATCCCGCCCGGCTTCAAACCTTATCATCCGCCTTCTCCGCCGCCTCTGCCCTTCCTTTGCCCCCCCATGGCTTCATGGCCCCATGCCTCTCACCCTCAATGGCTCATGGCCCCATGGCTCCATGGTCCCATCCCGCCCCATGGCTCCCATGGCTTCACCTTGGGACCCTCTCAGCTGACTTTAAAGGGTCCCAGTGCATGCCCGCCCTCTCCGCCCTCCCCGCCCCTCCGCCCTTTCCGCCCTTTCCGCCCCCTCCGCCCTTCCCGCTCCGCCCCCTCCGCCCTTCCCGCTCCATGGCGCTCCATATGGTTCCCGCCCCCTCCGCCCTTCCCGCCCCATGGCGCTCCTGGCTTCATTGGTCCCATGCCCCATGGCTCCCACGGCCTCATGTCCCTCTGGACCTTTTCCTCCGCCTTCTCCGCCGCCTCTGCCCTTCCTTTACCCCCCCATGGCCTCATGGCCCCATGCCTCTCACCCTTAATGGCTCATGGCCCCATGGCTCCACGAGGAACAGGCGCAGGGAATACACAAGCACCCCTGACACCCGAAGCCGTCCAAAGCGCAAGCCCGGACGGCCTCGTGTTCACGTGACATCCTGCCGACGGAACCCTGCAGACCCCCCTCCACCCTGCCCCCTAGCCCTGGACCCTACACCCCGCACCGTCCGCCTGGCTGTGCTTCCCCTGTTGGGGGTCGGCGGCACTGGCGGTAGCCATTAAATTAAGCTTTTAGCTGCCTTATTAAGAAACCCAATAAACCCAAAAAGGCTAAGGATCTAAAGTTGTCAGTAAAGCACCACAAAGAGGTTAGAGTTAGAAGTCAGCTGTTGCCCAGGATCTACGATGACCCTCAGCACCCTGTGAAATGTGGTCCTCTTAAACCCAATATATAGAGAAATATATATATATATATATAGTATCCCAATGGCCTACCGAGTCATAATTCTAGGAGCTGGCAGAAGAGCCTTACAGTCATAGATTTAGTAGTTTTCTTTCGCGAAAGCTGCAAACTTTGCATCCGGGCTTGGGCAGTCGGCCGAGAATGGAAGCAAACCGATGCAGCCGAGCTCAGCTCAAGCCAAGGTACCGAAACTAGACTTAGAAGTAAAGCTGCAGAGGGCCTAAACTAAAGCTAAACCCTAAACCCTAAACCCTAAACCCTAAACCCTAAACCCTAAACCCTAAACCCTAAACCCTAAACCCTAAACCCAACAGGTCCACAAGGGTTTAGGGTTCAGGGGCTTCATATCCCACCTGGCTGCGAACCATGACACCCTCAAACTCGAGCCAGGCGTACCTGCACCAAGAAGCTTGAAGGGGGCTCATAGGGTTTAGGGTTTAGGGTTCAGGATTACGTGGCTAAGGGGGATTAGGATTTGGGTTCCCAGAAGCTTCCATAGGTATTAGGGATTTACGGTTTAGGGTTTTAGGGTTCCGGGGTTTAGGGTAGTTTAGAGAATTTAGGGCACGGCAACCCCTACCAAGTCTGAACTGCATATCCCAAGATGAACTTATTCACAAAAAAACCTAAACCCTAAACCCTAAAACCCTGCAGGCATTCAGTGGCCAAGATGCCTCTTGCCAGAGGCGATGTCTGCAGCTTCGGGTATGCAGACCTTCCTGGAATGGGTGGTTTCAAAACCACTACGCAAAACTAACCCCTAAACCTATACTCCCTCTGGAGCCATGACAGAAACACTAGTTGTCTAAATAATTCCAGTCTTTGGAACTGATGCACAAACAACACACATGATTCCTAAGGAAACTGTACCGGATTCAGGATTTTTACAGCAAAGCCCTTAGCCCAATTCAAGTCCAACTCAAGACCTGGAGCGTGCTTTGCTGTCGCTGGATAGGGCTTGGCAGAGCCCTTTTGTAGTTCCTTTGGCCGTCTGAAGTATATGGCGAGGGCTTGGGGGTTGGGAGTTTTGGGAACAGCTAAAACCTGTACGTCAAACTTGCCCCTCCAATGAAGTTTTGAAACTGTGAAGCTTCCACCATATGTATATATATATATATATCGTCGTCGTCATCATCATCATCAGCAGCATCATCATCATCATCATCATCATCATCATCATCATCATCATCATCATCGCAACAAAAGCTATCCCTCCAATAATTGGGTATGTTTGCAAGATGCCAGCTTGGACAGAAAAAAGGTATCTCTAGGTGACTGACCCTCAGTCCAAATAACTGGCTGGGTCGTAGTAGGGAATGAGGGAATGAGGTACCCCATAGAATCACTAAAAGGGTGTGTATATATATATATAGGGCCCTAATTCCCTCAATCCCTACTAAGAACCAAGTCGAAAACCCCGAGCCCGAAAGCATCGATGTGATGATAAGCTGCCGTCGATACCAGGCGATGCCGTAGGGCAGGTACCCGTGTGACTTGTCAGCGGTTGGGGTGAAGTTGCCTCAGTTTTTTCAAGGCAGACAGTTAGAACACCCAAATAACGAAGCCCAAGTATATAATGTTTGTTGTACCATTACGCAGCCTCAAATTTCGTACTCAGAACCCCCTTCGAACAGCCCTTTCCGGCAGGCTTCTCTTGCCAGGAAATGTCAGGCGTCTCATGTTCAACCTTCACCATTCGGACGCCAGGATGCCTTCCACTACGAAGTCGTGCGGCACGTCAACCACCCGCCAATGTGAGTCCTCAGTGTGAGGTGATGTTTCATGGGCCCACGAACCTACAGCTGTAGATATGCCTGCAACCAGTGACGATGGAACTGGCCTGAGAAAGACCAGGTCCGGTTTAGGGACTATGTCAGCAGCATGAGGAAACCAGGTCATAACCCCAGGCCTGTTTCAGCTTCGGGTTTGGATTTCGAAGGTTCAGGGTTTGAAAACCATGCTCCGAGCGCTTATTTCCGATTGGCAGTCAGATCCAGAACCAGTGCCAAAAACTCGAAGCTTGCGACCGTCACATCCCCGCAGTGCCCTGCTACTTGGAGAACTGATTTAGGGTTTAGGGTTTAGGGTTTAGGGGTGCGCAGTGGCTTTCCCTAGAGAAGCCGATGCCCGGCAGGGGCCTTCAACCTATGCCTTCGTTGATGCCTAGTTGAAGATAAGACGCCCAAATCTCAAAGACCAGAAACAATGTAGGCCTTGGGAGTTCAGGGGCTTCTAGTTTATTGGGTTTATAGGGTTCCGCCTTTTTGATGGCAACCGAGGCACATCCAAGTCCGAACGGCAGCCGTCCTGCGCGGAAAAGGTAGGGGGTGTGGGGCCAAGTGGGCAAATGCGATGCAGAAGTCTGACTCAGGGGGTCTCTGAACCCTAAGCCCTTCATGCACCTGGAAGTTGCTTCATGCCAGGATGAACCCTAAACCCTAAACCCTAGTATAAATACTCCTGGGACTCCTGAAGGCACAAGGTGTGAAGACGGGCCCATTCTTTAGATCAACCGGCAGGCCAGACCACTAATGACATCCAAATTGCCCACTGGAAATGTGTAAGTGAATATATGTATATGTATATACACATACACATGTACATGTGTATATGTATATACATGTGTATATATATATACATGTGTACATACAGAGAAGGCGTAAATCGCGACCAACACACTCCGAATGCTTCCACGAACCTCGCTGGGCCCCAAAATACTCAAAACCCAACTCATGTCCACAAGCTTCCGAGGCTTCAGGAGTAAAAATTCCTAGGCCTTCTGGGCTTCAGCTTCGGATTGTAGGTTTTTGTGCTTGGGATTTAGGGTTCGTAGGGTTTATACAGCTTACCCAGCGCGTCCACAGTTCCTGTATAAGCTGCAACTGACTGTGCCACTTGGGCGTCGGAGGCTGTAGACCTTAACAGCCTAAACCCTTCCCCCGATCCCTAAACCATTTATAAACAAAAAACAACGTGTCATGTTCTTTCTGTGTGCTGTTCCATGCCAGAGGTCCAGCAACTTTCATTCTGGCACCTTTAGAAGTAGAACTGTGCTCCCTAAACCCTAAACCCTAACCCCCAAACCCTAAACCCTAAACCCTAAACCCTAAACCCTAAACCCTAAACCCTAAACCTTAGTTGCCAACAATGGCGAGGGCGCCGCGGCCTCCCAGCATGGAGATCCGGGCATCATCTTCCGGGGCTTTCTGCTGGGGTCGCCTGACTCATGGAGATACCCAGCGGGGTTACATGCCCCCCTCCCCAAAAAAATATACCCCTCTCGTTTCTGTCTGCGCATAGATCATACATAAGGAATAGAGTATATACTAATATGTATGTACTTATATATGTGGTACTTGTGTATGACCACATGCATACGTACATGCATACGTATGAATATATATATATATATATATATACATATGCCTGCTGAAGCAATTTGATCAACCAGCTGAACTGAGAACTATATCTATATATAAAAAACAAATAAATAAATAAATATATACATATATTTATTTATTTATTTATACACACATACATATGTGTCTGTACGAGCGTAAGGGACTACACCTTCAACTCGCCGGCGGGCGCAGGCACCTTGGGCTTTGGGTTTTGGGACCTTCTGCTCGGCATGCCTTGGAACATATCCCCAAAAGGCATCTATCACCATGACTCTGCAATCAAGAGAGTGCAATCCGTAAGCCACTGGCAATAAGAGATACTTACTGAATAAGCCCAGTCAGGCGATTGGAACCTGGCCTTCGCCTTGCCACTGGCCGCTGCCCGTGCAACTGGAACGGATATCCAGGAAGCCTGGCTAAAGGCGCGCACGGAGGGTTGTAGTCTTCGTTGCTCAGTTCATAACCCACCCCCCCCCCCCCCCAAAAAAAAAAAAAAAAAAGTGTACATGTTCATCTCTATAGGGGATTACAGTGTCCCAAAAAGTGTACGTAAAGTGTACTCGTTCAGCTATTAAGTAGTTGCTTAGGAACCCCGATTCATGATTCGGGTTATAACAACCCCGTTTTCCCGTCCTGCTAGCATAATGATCCATGAGCCCTGTTCAACGACCTAAACCCGCTACTAGACCCGTCCTTGCAATTTGTTAGGAAGAACTTGTGAGCCATGAGCGTTCATTCGCAACTCAAAACAGGCCAAGTGTGGGCTCTCTTTGAATCCTGGTTCAAATGTTTTTCCAACAAACTAGGCGAGGCCTGACCAGAATCACGCATGCATGCACTTGCATGTACTGTGTGTATGAACATATCTGCATACCATACGTGCATGCGGTTGAAAGTTTTCCAGGAGCCTACGGGCTAGATGGATTTTGCATGGCTTGACAACAAAGAGATCACCTGGATCTAGCGCTGAACTCTAAACCCCACAGAGTTTCGTGGAAGATGTCTTGAAGTTGGTGGCCGCAGAAGCCGGGCGGGCGCGACAGAACATCCGATCCAAAAGCCCAAAGTCCTAGCCCTGAACCCTCTAGACCACATACGCTAAACCCAAGACCCTAAGCCCAAAATCCCTAAGCCCTTTAAGCCCTAACACTCTGCAAATCAAGATCGCTACATCCGAAGGACCGAAAGGCGTCACGCGCCTGATACCGATGCGTGGCGTGCCAGGGCAGAGTGCTTGTTTTGCGTGTGAATTTGCCTTTGTGGGTAGCGGGCAGCTAGGGTGAGGGTAGTCGAGGATCTTCAGCATTGTCTATACCCCAAAGCCAAAAGCCCTAAACCCTAAACCCTGAACCCTAACCCCTAAACCCTAAACCCTAGACTCCCCGAGGCCTAGCCAGCAGCTTCCTGGGCGCCACTGCCTAGGGACTGGCACATTGGACAAAGAACTAGCAGCCAAACCCTGAACCCTAAACTTCCTAGACCCTAAACCCTAAACCCTAAACTTCCTAGACTCTTCAACCCCCACTTAAGAAAGGACCGCCGCAACCTACAAAGAGCTGAAGGGGCGTACAGCGGTTCAGGGTTCAGGGAATGCAATGCAGCCTGACCCCTACCAAAGGAAAGACTGCAATAGGGACACCCGAATCAAACTGCCTTCACCATAAAGCTAAGGGCATATAGGGGCTCAAGGTTTGGTTGGTTGGCAGCGTGGTCAGCAAGGTTGCAATGCGTGGATCTACCCTATATAAAACACTCTGCTCCCACTAACAGAAAAACGGAAGAAGGAGCCAGAGTGGATCCTAGCCTATTGAGAGAGTCCGATACCCTCGACTAAGGGGACACACCATAACCAAAACAGAGTTCTTACTATGAAAGTAGACGCCTTCGTTTGACCAAGTATTGGGCCCTCTCCTTTTTAAACGCTGCCGCAGTGCCAGGCATTGCAGGCCGACTCGGCACAGCAGGCGGCGCGGCAAGCAGTCGCGTTGCCAGGGCCCCCGTCCTGTGAGGTTTAAAGGAAGCCAGTCTTCGGCCGGAATAGGCCGGAAACAGGAATCTCACGTCTCTTCCCTGAGTTAAGGATACACTACACAGGGGTTCGTATCATGAGATAAGGTCAAAGAATGGTAGGATCTCTGAGCTCGCCAGAGACCTCTGCAACCCGGCAGCAACGGGGTTGCCTTCTTGACGGGTTGATGAGGGGCCTGAACTCGACAGACTGGGCCGCCAGTCTGCAGCAAACCGGCATAGATAACTGAACAGGTCGATAGAAGCATGTATATATGCATGCACACACAGAGATATACATATATATATATATATATACATATAATATGTACAGTATATATATATATATACCTATGTATATCTGTGTGTGCATGCATGTATACATGCTTCTATCGACCTGTCATATATATATATATATGCTCTCTCTCTCTCTCCCTCTCTCTGTCTTGCAGTGGCGCCATGAAAACTACGTCTAGAGTGACGCAGTTTTACACTAGTCCTGAGAAGCCACGCGTGTAAACCAACGTTTGCTTAGATTGAACCTGCAAGGTATGGTTTAGACTTTAGACTGGGACAGCCTGTTGAATTTTAAACCCATATGTGACACTTTGGGGCGTAACCTCGAAAAGGGTTGGTTTAAACCGGGAACCCAAACTCCTCCTCACATCCCTTCATACAGGAACCTGAGTCGAACCTAACCCCTAAAACAGAAATCCAATGGTACTGCTGGACATCCTTTTATAAGCTACGAGTTAGGACAAAGGTACTGCCGGACGTCCTGTTATAAGCTACGAGTTAGGACAAGCAGCTCAACATCGGGAACCCTTGGCCGTCCTCGGGACGCCCTTGCTTCAAAAGCCCGGTGCAATGACCTCTGCGTCTCAAGGGGCCCCCCTCCTTCCCCTTCAGCTCTTCTAGGGGTTGGCCTTTTGAACCCTCTGAACAATATTCCGAAACATGGCTTTCTTGAGAAATACCCTAAGCCCCAAACCCTCAACATAGCTCGGGGGCTGAATGAGCCCTAAAAGGGTTCATCGTCCACATGCTTTCCAGGTAGGGTACACGCTCTCAAGCTTAGCGTCCGTTTAGTACCCCTTACTTGAGGAGGAGCTAATCATGAACCATCCTCTAAACGACCATTCCCTCCACTCCGTTCAGAATATGGGCACTGTACACGTTGCGTGCATCGGTAACTCGATGTCAATATCACCGAATTTCGGGCAGGTAGTTGGGTTGACTCACGGAGTAGCTCAATGAAAGGAAAGCCAGCTCTCCAAAACATAGACGCCTACGTGCAAAAGGCCAGTTCTCCAAAACATATACGCCTACGTGCAAATGGCAAATGTTCTCCATGGATATACATAAGCAGATCTTACCTTGGGGACTTACTCAACAGAGATCAAGATCCACATGCCGAAACAAAACGCTGCTCATAGTCTCGTAGTTCTTTTTTTTTTTTTTTGGGGGGGGGGGGGGGGGGCGCATCATCCCAAGGTTAGGACTCAGTTTGCCCCCAAGGGATAGGCACAGGGTACTCAGCAGCCCCTTAATTTTCGACTCTGGCTCTTCTAAGTAATTGCGCCAGTCCCAGCTTTGCAGCCCCTAAACCTTACAGACGTTGCGAACCCTATAAATAAACCCCATAACTCCTAACCTCTATGGACCCTATTCTATAGTACACCCTACAACTCGAAACCTTATCCTTATAAACCCTATAATGAACCCCCATAACTCGAAATCCTAGAAACCCTGAACCGCAAGAACGCGGCCTGTCAGAGGCTCCGGGAAAGTCGTGGCATTGCAGACCTGTGGAGTGACCTGCAAAGTGCACCGGGGTTTAGGGTTAGGGTTTATAGGGTTTAGGGTTTAGGGTTTAGGGTTTAGGGTTTAGGGTTTAGGGTTTAGGGTTTAGGGTTTAGGGTTTAGGGTTTAGGGTTTAGGGTTTAGGGTTTAGGGTTTAGGGCTTGCGCTCAGCTTAGGTCATTTAGGGCAATTCTCAAAATGATGGTCCCTTTTTTGGGGCACCCAAAATATTCGGGGCAGCCTTGTATGAGTGACTCCAAAATAGGGGACCAGAGTTTAGAGGGTTCTTACAAGCACTCTTCGACTTGGTTTTAAAGCCCTGTTCTTCGTTTGCCTAGGGACTAGGGATGGAGGGCTGAGAGCTTAGAAGGGTTGGGTTCGTTTAGGGTGGATATTTCCAGGCGTGCGGAAGTGGCAAATGAGCTCAGTGACGCGGGGCTCAATCATGGCTGTTTTCCTGAGCCTTTGGCTAAGAAAGTCTTGGCTTCGGGTGATCTGAAAAACTTTTACATAATATATGGTAACCTGAAGAAGCTCTAATTAAATGATATCCGTCCTATAAACCCACCCTAAACCCTAAACCCTAAACCCTAAACGCTAAACCCTAGACCCTAGACCCTAGACCCTAAACCCTCACCCTAAACCCTAGACCCTAGACCCTCAACCCTCAGCTCTGAGCCCTGAAGGTCCCACAAGCCTTCTCACGCTGGAAGCGCCACTGCCCATCCAGGCTCTGGACCTCCACTGCCACCCCTCAACCCTAAACCCTAAACCCAGAAGGCGGAAAGGACGCGTAACTTAGGGTTCAGGCTTGGGATGTTCCCCTTATACTAACAGTCCTGAAGAGGGTTAGAGTAGCGAGTACTATTATCCCCACTAAGCACTGCTAGTATGAGGGGGAACATTTCAAGTTCAGGGCTTCTGTTTTGTTTGCCACCGGCCAGGGTTTACCCAAACCCCCAAAGTATGCAAACATAATGGTCCTTTTTGGAGGCGTCGGGCTATTTGTTGACATACGTTGGGGGTCCAGGTAGGGCTTAGGGAGACTCAGTAGACCCTGAATGAACGAATAGACCAGAATTCGGGGTTCTCATTCTGAATTCAGGGGAAATCCTCCTAATCCCGAAGGAAGTGGGGTCGCAGGGAGTACTTGGAGGTTCATGGTACTCGTTATCCAATTAGAACTGTACTTATAACTGTACTTATAACCTTTTTAAGGCACTTATATAAGTGGGCTATAAGTACAGTTATACAGTTGGTTAATAAACACCATGAACCTCCAAGTAGCGTATTGACCTTTGAACTCTAAAAGCCGTACAGAAAGGAAAACACTCCGGGGCCCTGCGTTTTTGAGTGCTTTACGTTTTTTCCGGGCTTTGACGTCTGCGCGGTGTTTTACCATAAGGGTTCAATTAGAGGGTGCTGGCGCCTATAGCTCACCTATTCACACTTAGAAGCCCCCCCACACCGCCCTAAGCGGCAGAAGCGTCCCTCATGTGATGCGCAGTACGATCCGTCCACCCAATGGCTTCTTAAACCCCAAACCCAATAGCTCCTTCGCTTATTTTGGCGCCCGACCTCTCTACAAACTCCCCTTTTGGCGGCCCTAAGTCCCTGCATTACTGATATATGGAAGAATATATGTGTGAGTTTTTGTGGGGTTCTTAAGCAAATCATAGCTTCGCGCCTGCCGTCCACCAGTTGTAGGTGCCGCGAAGGTCCAAAGTGGGATCCTTGAACAGTGTTTGGGGTGTATGTATACCTAACTAAACCACCAAAGTATCCAAAATAGTGGTCCTCTTACGGGCTTCTCGATGTGTTTACATACTTGGTGAATCCAAGTAGGGTTTCGGGTTTGCAGTCTTTGAGACTCAGGGTTCGCAAGTGGCGGGGGGGGGGAGAGGCTCGTAAGTAGAATCTCTGCGCGGCACTTTGGTGACAAACTGAAAACCCTCATTATCCTGCTCGGATGGCATGTCGATCCCGAGCCAGAGGCTCTGCCCGAGAAGGCAACAAATTTCGAGGAGGACAACAATAGCATGGGCACCCTTCTCACAGGACCCTCACCTAGAACACTAATATAAGGGCCTTCAGAATTCGAAGAGGGTTTTGGGGGTTTCTAGTGTATTCATAAACGGGGCTCTATCAGGGAATACTAATAGTATTTACTCCGACCCCCATACTTACTCCAAATGCCCATGGGGCAAAAAGTTCAAACTTTCAGATTACGGCCACCTTTTAAGAGGCCAACAGTTGAAAAGTTGAGTTTTGAACCACTAACTACCCCAAAACCCTAAACCCAAAACCCTGAACCCTAGCAGAGCCGCCTCTGTACGTTTGAACCGAGAAGCTGCAGCAAGGTGACCAGGAGGATCATCTCTTCGCAGCTTGCGCGAGAGCCGAGAAGCACTGCAAAGGTATAGGTAGTCTAAGGGCAAAGGAATAATTAATCAGAATAGGGTTTCTTCGGGTTCTTTGGTTCTCGTAGGGCAATTACAAAGCAACCATCAGGGAACATGCTAGTAATTTTTCCGACCCTTATATTAGAGAGCGAGATAGGGACAAAGAGAGAGAGAGAGAGAGAAAAAAAAAAAAAAAAATCATGCAAGGAGCCAGACTCCTGGCGGGAGCAGTAGGGGCGTGCCAAACCTATCCCCGAATCCTGGACATGCGTACGGCACGGTTTTGTTTCTTTTTTTGGCCACAAGGGGGGGGGGGGGGGGGGGGGGGGTGGGGAGGATATTAGGTTTTTGTTCGGTGCGTCGCGTTGAAGCAACTCTGTGTGTGTGGTGTGCATGGGCACTTCTCCAAAATTATGGTTGATTTGGGCGCATCTTTACAATTCGAAGGACGACTTATACTTATAAGGTACCCAAGAACATGCGTAACTTATAACTCAGAACGAACCCCCACGCTAGACCCTGAAGCCTGAGCACATCAAGCCCAAGCCGAGTCTCCCTAAACCCTAAACACACACCCTAAACCCTAAACCCTAAACCCTAAACACAGAGCGGGTTTAGGAAGTAATGTAAAAATTGGGTCGCTGGGCAGAAGCCAAGCAGCATGAATGGAAGCTTGGTAGCCCAGTAACCATATTGCATAACCCTAAACCCTAAACCCTAAATCCTAAACCCTAAACCCTTTTTTTGGGTTGGTTACTTTTAAAAGGGAGCTCATTGGTAGCCCAGTAACCATATGATAACAAGGGTACGGGAGCCCTGAATGAACAAAAGGGAAACGGGGTACCAGGGGCTACCTTTTAGTTCCCTTGATTCAACTTTTAGGGTTTGTGGTGGTCTTCAAAGACGGGGTTTAGAAGAGATCAGGACGAAAGCCACGAAATATTGAGCTTTTCTCTTGGCACCCGCATAGTTGGACGAGCTGTTTAGGGTTGAGGGTTTCGGGGGTCTAGGGCTTAGGGTAGAAGGTGGGATGAACTGCAATATACTCCCTTCGAACCAGTAAGAGTGGTATGCATGATGTTCCCTCGAATCGGGACCTCCCTCTTCGCGCTCTTCATGCCTAAACGCGAAAACCCAAAAACCATCTTAAGCCTCAAACGCTTGAACCTTACAACCCTAAACCTTAAACCCTAAAAACCTAAGCCCACACCCTCTACTTTCCCCCCCCCCGCACCCACCCCGCCACCAAAAACCAAAAACACCCATGCAAACCTGAACCTCAAACCCCAGACCCTAAACCCTCAACCGTCCCCCTCCCCCCCCCCCCCCCCCCCCCACTCCTCGCCCCTCACAACACAAACAAAAACAAACAAAAACACGCACGAAAGCCTGAACCCTGATGGGTTCCTGGCGGTTGGCGGCATCCCGAGATGTGACAACGGCCTTCTCACCCTTCCTGGGTTTAGGGTTTAGGGTTTAGGGTTTAGGGTTTAGGGTTTAGGGTTTAGGGTTTAGGGTTTAGGGTTTAGGGTTTAGGGTTTAGGGTTTAGGGTTTAGGGTTTAGGGTTCAGGGTTCTAAGCCTTAGCGATGCATATGCCGGTTGCAAAAGAAAACGCTGAGATGCTCACAGGGCAGTGGCTTCCTGCGTCGGGCGCACAGGCGACAGCTGAAGGGTTTGGTCATCCCGTCTTGCGAGGTTGGCGTGTAAGGGTTTAGGGGGCAGCCCCTCTGCCAAGGTGTGAACCTTAGCCCTGAACTTCAAGATCGCTCATTTCAGCCCTTTTGCTCAAAGGGACACGCTCATCACCGCCTTGTTTGAACATCAATACAGCAGAGCTCAAACTTCAGAACCCTTTAAAGAAGGCAAAGGACCATATTAAGGGATCATGTAACTTCCACCCTAACACAGATGATTTCCTGAAGGCATTCGCAGAAAGCCTCCTCCGACCCCATATTTCCGCGCGAGCATGAGCTCAACAAGCTTTGCGGAGGGTGAGACAGTGAGACGCATACAATGCAGCATTAAGACTGGGCCCCGAAGCTAAAACCCAAGACTCCTGTTAGCTAGGCTTCTTTGTGAGGTGCACGGTTATTTCTTGCCACATGTGCCTGAAATTTTCTACGTTGACTGACCTAGAAAGGCTTCCGACGGTAAGGCGAGTTCACGTCCACCGGCGCCACAGCGACCGGGTGCTTTCGCGGCCTCAAGGCTGTCGCAAGGGGTTTAGGGTTTGGGGTTTAGGGTTACTTGGGCACAATTTATTGGGCGCATGATCGAAAGGTTTCAGCTTGCGCCAATCAAGTCAGCATCTGGGGGGTTTATGATCATATGGGACCCCTAACATACAAGGAGGGGGATCCCCTAGTTATAAGTAGAGTTGTAAGGGCCCTAAATGGGGTTATAAGGAAATTGGGTTCTGAGTCCCTTAACTGCACTTTGTATATTCAGGAGACCCCTCCTTTTAGACCCTTAAGTAGTAGGATCCACGTACAATAAGGACCCCCTAGAAGGTGCCCCTCATGTCGTACTCGGAGGTTCATGGTACTTATGAAGCAATTATACCTGTACTTAGAACTGTACTTATAACCATATTAGGGCACTTTAGGGGCATGTAAAGCGGGCTTGGGTTGGTTATTTGATAAGGGAAACCATGTAAACAAAAAAAAAAAGTAAAGGGTACCGCTGGGCTACCAAGACCATGAACCTCCAACTAGACCCCCGCATGTTTGACGCCGCCGAGTCAAGACCATGGCCTGGGGCTTCTTGCTCATCGTCTCTGCTGTCACTCATGCGGGTTTAGGGTTTAGGGTTTAGGGTTTAGGGTTACACCCTTGGCAAATGAATCCTTTCGAGGACTGCATGGCATAGAAGCGTGAAAACCTGACAAGGACTAAGTTGTGTACAAATTATCATGCCCGTTGCCAGAATAAAAGTGCCGTGCAGGAAAGAGAGCTCGCCAATTGAACTCCATTTGCAAACCCAAGCGGATGTCAGGGATCAACCTTCTAGCGGTCATGACGACCTGTGTTCGGAATCCCACAACATCTTCTTCAGAAGCAGCCTGCACCCGCCAGGAATCCAGGAGTTCACGGGGCGGAAAGACTCATATTTCGCAAGAAGCCAACCTCCGTCATCGGCCCCCCCCCCCCCAAAAAAAAAAAAAACAAGTTCCGACAAATGCCCCAAACAGCCCATAAAATATTCAACGTCCTGCTCCCTACATCTACGATTTGCCTAAGAACCACCCAAACAAATTAGAAACATTCTTCCTTCTACGGGTAATACAGGGATTATGATTTACAGAATCATAGATGAACTCTGACAGGGAATTACAGCCCAAGACAAGCCGGAGGGCAGTCGCGGCGTCCGGCTGTACGTCTCTCGGAGGAAGTTGATGCCCTGCTGGAATATCTTGGCCTCCCCAAGCATACAACACCGCAGCTAAGGCAGCTAAGTTTTAGGGGACTGTGAGCTTTCTGAAGTGGCAAATGTTTACAATGAAAGATTCGAGCCAGGGGAACTTAAGCTTCCTCTGCTGCGTGCCGGAGGCTCGGTAGAAGAGGGATGTGGACGTTTAGGAATCTAAGACTTGGGAGGAGAGAATAGGCCCCGAACGGCAGCATGGGCTGTGTGTTGGGAGCGGAAACTTCGACTCTATCCTGTGCTGCCAAGCTACATGTGACCGAAACCCCCTTCAGTTGTTTCACGGAACAGTGTGCTGATCATTGCAGGGTCACACAGCCACGCATCCGAGTTTTGCGGCCGCATCTGAGCAAGTAGAAAGAACTGCCCAGACCTGAAAGCCTAAATGCGGAGAACACTTGAAAACACATGCTAGGATGTAAAATCCCCTCCCCTTAACATTAAAACCCTAACCCCTAATAGTAAATACCCCCCCCCATACTACAATATAGCTACAATGGGAGGATTGTTATGGAAGCACCACAAACACTAATCCCTGCGTCACTTCGCACCTCTTCCATCAAATGTTCTGCGGCCTTTTCGTTGCCTTCACGATAGCCGCGGAAGCCTTAGCTAAAAGCTTGAAAAAGGCTCAGGGTTTAGGGTTGAGGTTTTGGGGAGTCGTTGCGGGTCTGCAGAGCTTACGATTTGAAGGCGTGGGGAGCGCAGAAAATACCTACCCCTGAGGGACAGTTCTGGCTTTTTCGGGGTGGAACAAGTCCTGCTGCAACCTCTGACAGACATTGTTCTCCTCTTCATCCACATGTCTACCTTTTTGCTCTTGGCCTGCAACTGTGGCCTCTCGAAGAGGTTTATGCTTTAGGGTTGAGGGTTTAGGGTTTAGGGTTTAGGGCTTGGTAGCCCAGTGGTACCCCCTTTACCCTTTTTTTCTTATGGTTTCCCTGATAATTTTTATAATATTCACAATAGCAAAAAGGGTGCCCTTGTCATAATATGGTTACTGGGCTACCAAGAGGGTTTTCTGTAAGGGCAGCTACATGGTCCCTTACTGTTTTCAGACAGTTCTGAAGGAAGGGCCCTTGCATTTTATAGGGTATATAACGGGTGTATAAGTGAGGTCCATGTTAAGGGCCCTTGCTAAGGGACCATGCAACTACCCTAAGACTTTCCGGAACACCGTCCCAGCCTAGAACCCTGCACGGGCTTTGAGGTCGGAAGGGTGAGTGCAGGGGTCCGTCCTCCGACCCTAAACCCTAAACCCTAAACCCTAAACCCTAAACCCCAAACCCTAGTGCATCCCTCGCCCAGAGCGTGCACTTCAAGGCATGCCGAGAGGCGGCGCACCTCCGCGTCGGAGGACGTCTCCATCGCCTCAACCCCAGAGACACCCCCAAGGACACCCCCAAGGGTTTAGGGTTTAGGGTTTAGGGTTTAGGGTTTAGGGTTTAGGGTTTAGGGTTTAGGGTTTAGGGTTTAGGGTTTAGGAGAACTTTCGTACTTTCAGGTTCGGAGGCGAGGAAGACCGCGCAAGGTGAGGTTTTGAGGCATTCTGAAAACTGTTTGGAATATTTGATGTTTAGATTTGAGGTTTGGCTTAGATTATTGGCTAGTTGGCTTGTTGCTTGGAAGTGTTTTGTTAACCTTTAGCCTTGATCCTGGGGTTGGGTCCTTGGACCCAAGCCCAACACTCGACTTTGGGTTCTGGTCCACTGTAGTTGGGGTAGAAGGGCCCTACGCCATTTCATGGGGTTGTGGTCTAGGAGGTAGGGGTACATTCTGCCAGGGGACGTTGTTTCTCTTCAGAGCTGACCCCATGGCCTTCCGCTATAGGGAAAGTAGTTCTATTGATTCTGACCTCGTGGTACACTTTCTGAAGAAACAGCTGAAAATTTATCAAACATTCGAGGGTGCTGTGAGCACTCTAACCCTCAGCTGAATCCTTGTCTGCGGGCCTCTTGGGGCAACCCTGCACCCTGGCAGAAAGGCTGTAACGTTGAGAGGCTTAGCAGTCAAAGCACCCCGCCCCCCCCCCCCCCCCCCGAACAGGAACTCCCCAGCAAAATACAACTGATCCTAAACCATAGAACAAAACAACTAAACCTTTCAGGGACTCCCTGGACGCCCCAATATTATTATGTAAAACAAAGTGTTGCCCAACACTTTTGCGGGGGTTTAGCTGGGGTTTAGCTGGGGTTGAGGAGGTTCAGGGACTCCAACAGCCCTTGCCTGGCCTGCTTCTTCACCTCCATGCGAGCCTGGAGTGGAGGGGCAGGGGGGTGGGTGGCTTGCAGCTGCGGGGGTTTAGGATTTAGGGCTTGTGGTTTAGGGTGGAGAGTTCTGATGGCACCCTGAGGCTCTCACGCCCCTGCAGCCTGAGGCAGCATGGTCTTCGGGTCCCGAAAGCGCCTAGCATAAGTTCCATACCCCTCAGAGAACCCTAAACCCTAAACCCTAAACCCCCTAAACCCGAAAACCCGAAAACCCTAAACTCTTTTTACAAGCAGGACTGCGCAGCTGCCGGGAAATGCAGGCCCACACAACCAGCACCACAGTTCCCTAAACCCTAAATCCTAAACCCTAAACCCTACCCCTAAACCCTAAACCCTAAAGCCCTAAGCATCCCTGGAGCCCTCTGCCGGCATCATTTTGGTAGCAGAATCCTCGCCTTCAGCTCCTGCTCCATGCTTTCACCCACCTGGCACTTGCTATGTAGGGTCTTCTAGGTTTAGGGGTTAGGGTTTAGGGTTTAGGGTTTCGGGTTTAGGGGGCGTGGGGGCAGCTTGAGGTTCGCGATTCCCACAGTGCAAAGGTGCACGAATTGCTTCTTAAGGGGCCCTACCATATGCTATCCTAAGGGGCTTAGGGTTTCAGGGTTGGGGGCCGCTTCCGTCCCCCTGATATATAGTGGCCTGAATAATTAGAACAGGGTTTCGGGGGTTACTATAGTATGATTACAAAGGGATCATATGGGAATATTAGTAATTATTCCGACCCCTGCAGTGGTTATCTCTGCCTCCTTCAGGTCCACCGCCTGCGTGTTGGACTCCTGCCATCGGCCGCGGCACTCACAACCGATCCTGGAACCCGATTAACAATCCCTTCTAGGGTTTAGGGTTTAGGGTTTAGGGTTCGGGCTTGTCGCTGCCCTTGAAGGCTCCATGTCTGACCCCGGTTATCCTGCAACAGCTGCACGACAGGTGTCAGGATTTCGCCGAATGCTGGGCGAGGGGCGTCTGTGCTTCAGCTGCTTCAGGGTGGAGGGAGGCATGTGGGTGACCAGCTCTTCAAATTTGATGGTCCCGCGTGGGTACCCTGAATATGTGAAACCCTAAACCCTTAACCCCTAGTTAAACCCAACACGTGGACCAGAATTCAGACAGCAGCGACACTCGCAAGCAACCCAAAGACTGACTCCAAATTCTCTTGATCCCTTGATTAAGGTCTCTCTCGCTCTCTCTCTGCTCGATTAAGGTATGATTCCTTAGACTCAAGACGGAGCCTCGCATTCCTGCAGGGGAATTCTAGGACGTACAAGTCGCGGAATGAAACGCAAACTTCCAAACCCCTTCCACTCTTCTTCCTGTCAAAGGCATATGGATCTATAGATACATTTCTCAGACTAACTCGTATACGGGCAAAAACTATTCAAGCCGCGCTAAGTTCCAGATCTGTTGGGCTGGGAAAAAACTCTGCGTGGATTGGTGGATGGTGGTGGCCTTCGTTCAAACATTTGCTGCTTTGCCGAAACCCTATCCTAAGTTGCAGCACCTCAAGACATTCCGCTGTTCTCACACCTTCAATTCTGGCCTCTATGGCACTCCTGCGCTCGCGCATGCTACTTCAACCTATTTCCGATGGCCTCCTCGGCAGACCTCACTTCGTTGCGGAGCAGGTCGCTCTGTCGCAAGAGCCTTACCGGCTTGCGGCACGCGCACAGGACCTAAACGCATGTAATAATTGGGATGTTCCCCCGCATACTATGTAACCCAAAAAGCTGTGGAAGACTAGCGGATTGGAATGATGGGTGTCTCAGTGGCCATTGTGGCGACGTGTTTCAGGCTTTGGAGGCTCAATCCTTCCACGCCATTAAAGTCCCTTGAGGCTTTATAGGGTTTGTTAGGGGTTTAGGGTGTAAGGGCTTTAAGGGCCTTAAAGGCTTCCGCCAAGACAGCAGGTCCGCAGCGGACAAAGCCCGTTTGTGTGGGGGGGGGGGGGGGGAATGCCGAAGAAGGCGTCGTAACACTCAAAGCAACCTCCCTAAACCCTAAACCCTAAACCCTAAACCCTAAACCCTAAACCCTAAACCCCAAACCCTAAACCCTAAACCCTAAACCCGCCTTTCCTTGCATCTGGACTCCAGCAACCCTTTGCAACAGGGCTTGCGGGCGAGACAGCCTCAAGCAACCCCAAGCCTTTGAAACTCTTGACACCAAGGGTTTAGGGTTTAGGGTTTAGGGTTTAGGGTTTAGGGTTTAGGGTTTAGGGTTTAGGGTACCCTGCGTTGTGGGCTTTCTTTCTCTTTCTTCTCGCATCCAACACCCTCAGCGGCTGTTTATATGAACAAAAAGAATTTGTGCCCAATAGCCCAAGCCACCTTCCTCTTGTCATGGAAGTAATAGGGAGTATTCTTATCTTTCTTGTTTTCTTTTTTTTTTGGGGGGGGGGGGGTTCTTAAGCAAATGGCAGTTTACTGGGGTAGCTTTGGGGGCCCGATGAGAATTTAAATGTTATGGCTGCTGCTCGGCGTTCGAACTTGATGCTTCAGAAGAGATGAAGCTACACTCCCCCTTAGAACCTTAATAAAAAAACAACATTCTTAATATCCTCTTGGATTCTATAGAAACCAAAAAAATTCCCAAGGGGGATATAGGAAGATGTTAAGTCTGAACGTCTGTTTGGGCTTAGGGCTGAGGATTTCGGGTTTTGAGCCCGGGCTCAGGCACCCTGTAAACATGGCGAAGCCCTGCCAGCACTAAACACCAAATAGAGCGTAACCCTAAACCCTAAACCCTAAACCCCAAACCCTAAGCGCTGGGCTCAGGATCTGCTTTGGGCCAGGATTGAGAAGCAGCCCCCAACAAAGCAGCGTGTAAGTGGGTAGTTTCCTAAACTAGGGTTTAGGGTTTAGGGTTTAGGGTTTAGGGTTTAGGGTTTAGGGTTTAGGGTTTAGGGTTTAGGGTTTGGGGTTCAGGGTTTGGGGTTTAGGGTTTAGGCACCCACTATAAGGCGGCACCCTTTGAAAAAGGTACCCAAAAAAGGGACCCTAATTTAGAGAACAACCCAAGTGCAGGGAAGCTGCCGGAGGCTGTTGAGGGTTCAGGGTAGAGGGCCAGTAGAGGGTTCCGAGGTTCAAGCTCCACAGGGCTTCTAGTTAAAAGGGTCGGGTTTAGGGTTCAGGGTTTTCAAGGGTTTAGGGTTTAGGGTTTAGGGTTTAGGGTTTAGGTTTTAGGGGCCAGGCAGGATCCCAGCTCAGGAGGCTTGAGATGAGAGGGACTCATTAGAAGGTTTGGGGTTTAGAAGACAGGTGGCATTCGCTTTGCTTTCCACTGCAGGGCTCGCTGCTCGTTTCCACTGCAGGGCGCGCTGCTCGTTTTGAGACAACAGGTGTGAACAACAACACGTAAGCCCCCCATACCTTCAAAGCACACAAGTCCACTCGGCAAAGCCACATTATCCAGACACTGCTTGAAGTTTCCTGCGAAGCTCAAGGATTGCAAGCTGTCCGCCAAGGCCACATTCTCCAAACTCTGATTGAAGGACGATCCGAACGTCAAAGACTGCAAGCTGTCAGGCCAAGCCACATTCTCCAAGCTCTGGTTGAAGGACAATCCGAACGTCAAAGACTGCAAGCTGCCAGGCAAGGCCACATTCTCCAAGCTCTGGTTAAAGTAATATCCAAATGTCAGGGACTGCAAGCTGACAGGCAACCTAACGTTCTCCAAACTCTGGTCGAAAGAACCGCCGAAGCTCAAGGACTGCAAACTGCCAGGCAAGGCCACATTTTCCAAACTCTGGTTGAACTCGTCTCCGAAGCTCAAGGACTGCAAGCTGCGCTCTGGTTGAAGTCGTCTCCAAAGCTCAAGGACTGCAAGCTGCCGGGCAAAGCAACGTTCTCTAAACTGTGGTCAAAAGAACCGCCGAAGCTTAAAGACTGCAAGCTGCCAGGCAAGGCCACATTCTCCAGACTCTGATTAAAAGCGTCTCCGAAACTCAAGGATTGCAGGCTGCCAGGCAAGGCTACATTCGCCAAGCTCCGATTGAATTTGTCTCCGAAGCTCAAGGACTGCAGGTTGCCAGGGAAAGCCAGGTTTTCCAAACTCTGGTTGAATTCGTCTCCGAAGCTCAAGGATCGCAAGTTGCCAAGCCAAATCGAATTCTCCAAGCTCTGACTGAAAGAGCGCCCCAAGCTCAAGGACCGCAAGGTACCAGGCAAGGCCACGTTGTGCAAATTCTGGTTGAAGTTGTCTCCCAAAATCAAGGACTGCAAGCTGCTGGGCAAGGCCACGTTGTCCAAGCTCTGGTCAAAATGGAATCCGAAGGTCAAGGACTGCAGGCTGTCAGGCAAGGCCACACTCTCCAAACTCTGATTGAAAGCGCGTCCGAAGCTCAAGGACTGCAAGCTGTCAGGCCAAGCCACATTCTGCAAGCTCTGGTTGAAGGACAGTCCGAAGGTCAAGGACTGCAAGCTGCCCGGCAACGCGACATTCTCCAAGCTCTGATTGAATCTGTCTCCGAAGCTCAAGGACTGCAATGTTCCAGGCAAAGCCACATTCTCCAAGCTGTGATTGAAGCAGTTTCCGAAGCTCAAGGACTGCAAGCTGCCAGGCAAGGCCCCGTTGTGCAAACTGTGATTGAAAAAGTATCCGAAGCTTAAGGACTGCAAGCTGCAAGGCAAGGCCACGTTCATCAAACTCTGAGTGAATCTGAATCCGAAGGTCAATGACTGCAAGCTGTCAGGCAAAGCCACATTCTCCAAACTCTGATTGAAGGAAGTACCGAAAGTCAAAGACTTCAAGCTGTCAGGCAAAGCCACATTCTCCAAACTCTGATTGAAGGAAGAACCGAAAGTTAAAGACTTCAAGCTGTCAGGCAAAGCCACCTTCTCCAAGCTTTGGTTGAAGAGATATCCAAAGGTCACGGACTGCAAGCTGGCAGGCAGAGCAACATTTTCTAAACTCTGGTCGCCTAAGGTCAAGGACTGCAAAGCCTTTGGGAGATCCACATTCTCGAGACACCAGGCACCGTACAGCGTCAACGAAGAGATGGCGTCCTTGGCTTCTATGTCCATCGCGCTCAGGCGTTGGCCGTCCCAGGATCGGCAAAACGCAGCTGCTGCGTGCCCTGCACCAACCTAGGTTGGCTCCCTTAATCTCATTTTGAGCCAGATCTAAACAGGATCCTCTTGCGCTCGACCAACGAGGGAAAACATTACCAACACGCCAAGGACAACCTGTTGAACCACGTGCGTGATGACATCGCCCTGAAGTTGCTCCAACAACGGCTTGGAATCGTCCAGGGCATTGCCCCCAGCCGCCAGCACAAGCGTGCCGCCTGGCCGCAAGCCGATCCTTCCTGCGACGCTCTGGCGCACGTCTTCCACGGTCATGTTGTCTTCAAAAGGAAGCTGCACTTCGGAACCGTCGAGACCCGAGACCGTCAACTGTCGGCCGACAGTAAGGCTATCAAGCTCGTCAAGGTGGACCATCCCTCCAGCTTGAGACACTCCACGAAGCATAGCCCGATACCCTTGTGCAAGGTCGGTCATGGGACCTTGCGCCTTCGGTTTGGGTGACTTTGAGGACGAAATGCGAACTGAAAGGATTCTGGTCCATGCACCTGAACAGTTTTTTTGTCTTTGTTTTCTGGGGTAGGGCACGGGCACAATGTTAGGCCTGCTAGGCTGGTGTTGTCCCTAGTGGGGCGCTTGTTTCGGAAGGTGCAAGCAGTTGGGCAGGGTGCCACCCTCGGCTCTACCCTACTTAGAGGTTCATGGTACTTATTGACCAATTATAGCTGTACTTAGAACTCTACTTATAACCCTATTAGGGCACTTAAGGGGTTTATAAGTGGGCTATAAGTACAGTTATAAGTGGTAAAGAAGTACCATGAACCTCCAAGTAGGCCCTAGGCCCTGCGCTCAGGGACTGCCGGCTGCCAAGCCATCGCACATTCTCGGCACTCTTGTTAAAACCGTGCGCGAAGGTAAAGTCCCGCACCCTGAACCTTGAAACTCAGGAAGCCTAAACCTGGTTCATAGTTGGGATAGTAATAAAATTTTAAAATTTTATTCCTTATTGAGTTTAAGTACCCTTAAAAATGTAAAATGTTACCCCACTATGATAAAGAAACGCCTGTTCTGACGCCCTAATGCCAACGCCACACTCCAATCTCCTAAACCTACCCCCCAGTTGACCTCGAACAAATCGCAACACCCCTCTGACTCTGTCAACACAACAAACGCTAAAGATAAGCATTCTATAGGGGAGTAAGGGGTAATGGAAAGTAAAGACTATGTTCTTAAGGGGTACTATAATCCCTATTCAGGGCTATTTGTGTAAGGGGGAACATCCCAACCCTGAACCCTAAACCCCAAAACCCTAAACCCTAAACCCTAAATCCTAAACCCTATCAAGTAAGATGTTTTGGCAAATCTTCCTTCGTGACAGCTTAATTCGGCCACGGTGCTCGGTTTCCAACTCGGCGATGGCCTCTTGGCCCCTCTTGTCCTGCTGCAGATGTTCGGGGTTTGGGGTTTTAGGGTTGATAGGGTTTATAGGGTTTATAGGGTTTTGGGGTTTTTAGGGTGTGGGGTTTAGGGTTTTCAGGGTTTTTAGGGTTGAGAGTTTGGGGTTTAGGATTAGGGTTTAGTATGAAAACTAGCCCACTTAGAGGTTCAGGGTACTTGGAACCCCAAGTCTAGCTGTACCTCCAAGTTGATCTTAAGGCCAACATTTGGAGCCATAGATGTTGGTTGACATGTGGATAAACGTTCCGGTCACGGAGTTTGTCGATTCAGTCCGCGGACGTCGGCCAACAATTCGCCGAAGCTGCTGTGGTCAGTGCAGTTATCCTAGGGTTTCGGGTTTAGGGTTTGGGGTGGGGGGTTTGAGGCTGAAGCCACAGGGGGCTGAAGACCGGACCCTGCTTGGAAGCTCAGGGGTAGAGTTATAGGAGGAGTCATATGTAGGGTAAGTAGACTTCTAGCTGGTTCTACCCTTGTGCCATGCAGCATGCTATCACGGTATACAGGCCGGCAACCCCCTTAAATCCAACAGCCCAAAGCCCCTGAGCTTCAGGAAATCAACCCTAGACCAGGCTCTGAGCCTGCACCGTGGAGACCGTCTTTTTCTACAGTTTAAGATACCTCAGCACCATTGAGGCACCCTAAACCCTAAACCCTAAAACCCTAAAACCCTAAAACCCTAAAACCCTAAAACCCTAAAACCCTAAACCCTGAAACCCTGAACCCTAAACCCTAAACCCTAGACGGGGTACTTGAAGATTTGCGGGGGGGGGGGGGGGGGGGGGGGGGGGGGGGGGGCGGCAGGAAGAGCTTTCGCGAGCCGTTCCTGCTTGTCCAAGACCTCTTGCAGGGCCTTCTCCTCCTCAGCCCAGCGCGCCTCAAGGCTACCAAAAGGAGGGTTTAGGGTTTAGGGTTTAGGGTTTAGGGTTTAGGGTTTAGGGTTTAGGGTTTAGGGTTTAGGGTTTAGGGTTGCCCTAAACCCTGAACCCTGAACCCAAGCCCGACACCCTAAACACTTTTGGCAGGGAAACAGATGTTCCGACTTTAGAAGTGCAAAAGGGGCAAGCTCTGATTGGTCTATTAAGCTCTTGGCGGGCTCCTGAGCCTTCAGGATACCCTTTTGAGGTATGAAAAGGGCTCCCTTCTCAAAAAGGGGCGTTCCTGATTCAGAACAGAGCCCAACAAACCTATAGTCCGCTTAGAACCTTTAAAACATAGTCATTTAACAATTCTCTTGGTTTTTGCAGAAAAACAACAAATGGTTGTTAAGGGGGGCTATACTAAGCTGAACATGGCGGAGACTCACAAGCTGTCTTGATTACAACTCGTCAAGTTCTAGCTGATACGACAGCCGACAACACTTAGTTTACAAGAGTGTTAACGAGAAATACGTATACCTGCATGGGAAACTATTTGAAGGGGTCAGCCAAACACGTCTACCCGCATTTTGAAAGGATTTCTAGGCCTGTTGGAGCACTTGTTCGCTTGTTCGCAGGCCTGTGGGGGTGGGGTTTCAGACTGAGGCTGCCTAAACCGTAAAAACCCCTACCCCCCCCCCCCCCCCCCCCACCCCCAAAACCCTAAAAACAACTAAAAACTCTAAAAAAACCCGTAAGCCCTATAAACCCCAAACTATAAACCCTAGAAACCCACAAACAACCCTAGCAGCTTCACGAACCAATCGCTGTCTAAGCTCTCGGCCTCATGCAAGTGCCTTTGGAATCGACTTGTTTTTGCTGCGAATCGTGACCACCTACTCAGCATCCGTTGGCCCTTCTATGCACATCCTTCTGCCCTGAACCCCCCGCTCCGTCGCAGGCGGAAGCCAACGAAGACTGAGAGCCCCGAAGCTCGCCAGGCTTGGCCCCAAGATGTGAAAAGGTCTAATCGGGTTTAGGGATTTAGGGTTTAGGTAACCCTACCTAGACCCCTCCCCCCCCTCCCCCCCCCCAGAAAACACAAAAAAATGATACTGCAAATGTAAATACCTAAGAGAGGAACTGCAATTGGAGATGCGGGTAGCTCTGAGATCTAATGTTGGACTGGCTTTAGTGAGAAGGGGCACTATTATGCGATGTTCCGGAAATCCTATAGGGGACCCCCCATTGTTTAGGGTGGTCCTCAATTATGCGATGTTTGCCGGCCAGGGTTGAAGGGCGGGGGGCCGGGGAGCCAAAAACTAAAAACAGTTTTGAATAAGAAACTCCGGAAGTTTTTGGTGTCCAGCCTTATTTAAATTCCTTTTAAAATTTCATTACGAAACAGGCCCCCAAACAATTTTCCAAGGGAGTAGCCCACGAGCTGCCCTGATTCGCTTTAGCAAGTTGTTTCGGTGGTCCGCATTTATGCGGAGCCCCGGCGACCGTGGAGCTACAAAGCCTGGAAAGCTTAGACCCTCAAGCTTCAAGGCTTCCCCTCAACCCTCGACCCCTAGCCGCCCTACCCCCAGCCCCGTCCCAGCCCCAGCCCACACTATTCAGGATCCCCGAAAACCCCAAAATTGTTTGGGGAGGGGGGGGGGGGACCCCTACGTACTAAAGCGAGTCCAACATTACATCTTAGGATCCGGATGCTTACCCTGTGGTAAGCCAGTGCAGCTTTCTAAAAGGACTATCTTCAGTAAGTACACGGGCCTCTTGTGGTAACTGTTGCTCAAAATTGCGGGAGAAGCTAGAAATCCCACATTCTGAGCAGCCGAAAGATGCGAAATCCTGACGCTCCCGAGCTGCCTCAAACTTATCCTCCAGGCCCGCGAGCTCCAGTTCCAGCTCGCCGACCTTCCACGCTTGGAGGTTCATGGGCACTTCATAACCCCAAAGATAACTGCTACTCACAGATTCTAAATAGGGAATATAGTACCCCCCCCCCCGATGAAAATCAGTACTTAGGACTGCTAGTATAAGGGGGAACATTCCAAGTTACACCAACTGAGTGAAGTGGAGTTGCTGCTTAAGCCGTGGGCAAGTCGTTCGCAGATGGTTTTACAGCTCTGCACCACTAAGCTTTTTTGCAGCAGAGACGACACCAATCCCCTCACTTGCCATGATGAGTGGGCTGGACAATTTAAGATAGAGGATGCGGAGCCCAAAAAACTGCAAATCCTAAGCCCAAACTAAGCTAGACCCTAGACCTCTGGCAGGCCTATTATCAAAATAAATAAGTAGTCTACAGAGAGAATCATAGGAAGATAGAATGACTGAATGAATGCATGAATGCATGACTGAATGAATGAATGCATGAATGAGACAGGTGGGGGTATCCACGGGTGTTGGGCCCACAGCGCCTCCTGCTGATGGCGTAGCCTTGTGGACATGGGAGGGGGCGGCGGGGGTGGACTTAATCCTTCAGCCCTGAAGCAAACTCTCTAGCTCTCTCTGCTCTTTTTAAACCCCGAGCTGAACCCTAAACCCTGAGCCCTGATTTGTTTCAGGGTAGTTTGGGGTTTAGGGTTTTCGCTTTCTGCGACCTTGGGCTTTGAGGGCTTTGCGGTGCTAGCGGTACGGAGGGTTTTGGGGGGAGTCCCGCTGACAATGCCGCGTGGCTTTCTTTGCTCCCATAGCTCCTGGCAGAAGGGCGTTTTTTTTTGCCACCCGCTTAAGGGCGTTTTAGGGCTTAGGGTTTAGGGTTTAGGGTGTGGGGTTTTGGGTAATACGGCTTATAAGCCCTGTCGGGCCTTGGCATTAGGGGTTGCTTGATGTGAACGCACAAACACCCACCAACCTCCTCCCCCCATCACAATCATGCTGTCACCTCGTCATCCTAGATTCCGCGAGAAAGAAGAAGGGTACCTCAGGAAAAAAAGCGAGGTAATTGCGGGAACCAAACCCCTAAGAACTTTCAAAGAAGAGCCTACTGGGCCTCCTAGGGCAGATGGTTCTGAATCGGATGCAAGCGAAAAAGACCAGGAGTCCGTCCTGGAGGGTGTCGGACTTTTGCTGGTGCTTGGCCTCGGGTGTGGGTTACGGCCCAGGGCTTTTCGTGCTTTTATTTAGGGTCCTGAGATATGGGCTGAGAGGCGGAAGAAAGGTCTATGGGAGCATGCAGATGGCTTAAGTCGTTCTAATATAGTGGACCATCTCCCAAGGCATCTTAGTCAATACGAAAAAGAACCGTAGTTGGTTGAGGGTGCTGATGTTCATGCAGAGAAACCGGCACTGAAAATGGGGCTCGGGGCTTCCAGCACCCTCATACCCCACGACCTCCTACACTTTGAACTTTCTACGAAACCCCAAACCCGACCCGAAACTTTATGCTACAAGCCTATACACCTCAAACCCCCCCCCCAAATAAAAAAACTTTCAAATCCCAAAACCCCTCAACCCTTTTCTTATATACCCCTAAAACATAATCAACCCCCAACCCCAAACCCTAAACCCTACCCTGAACCCTAAACCCTACACCCTAGCCTTTAATTTCTTTAAACCTAAGGCCCTAAGGCGGCGACTCTCAGGGTTTTGACCTTCTGCTGTATGCGATCCTGCTCGCTCTGCACGCGGGCGAGGTGCATGTCCGCATTTCCTTTGAGGGAGGGCTGAGGGTCTTGATCATGCTGTGTTTTGGTGTGCCAGAAGTCTACAGAATCAGAGAAACGTTTGCACCATTTTTCTGGGCAGCCTGGCAGGAGGTCCACATTACCCAATTCTTCCGCATATGCTGTACTCAACTCTCATGGCAATATGTGGAAACCTTCAACATGAATTGAAACCTACAAACCCTAATCCCTATAATAATGCAACCACCATCAATCCAGCACAGGGGCGCTTGATTTGCATGATGACCCTTGCTGGCTCGCAGTCCTCCCAGTGGCGAGTTAGGGGTGCTAAGGGTTATGGGGTTTAGGGTTTAGGGCCTAGGGTGTAGAGTTTAGGGCAGACACCACAGGGCCCTCAAGAGAAACGCGGGGAAGCGTCTTGAACGCATCCGACGCTCGTGCTGGGACATACTTGGAGGTTCAGGGTACTTATAACCCCAAGTATAACTGTACTTATAAGCCCCCCCAGTCCTCTAAGTAGGTTATGGGGGTTATAAGTACCCTAACCCTAGACCCTAAACCCGAAACCCGAACCCCTAAACCCTGATTGGGTTAGAACCTCCAAGAAGTGGAGGCAAATCGCAAGCACCCGCTCATCTCCGGGCGAAGTTGCACGGTTCAAGGCGGCGACCTCCAAACAAAACCCCTAAACCCTCAACCCTAAGGGTTTCCCGTTCGGTAAACCCTAAACCCTAAACCCTAAACCCCAAACCCTAACCCTAAACCCCAAACCCCAAACCCTAAACCCTGTAGGGCTTTTGGGGCTCGGGATCAAGGGAGGGCCTGCGAGGACTTCGTGATCCGGCGCACGGCGTCGCGTGGAGGGACCTCCCGAGATGTTGAGGGATTTTTGGGGGTTGGTTTAGGGTTTAGGGTTTAGGGTTTAGGGTTTAGGGTTTAGGGTTTAGGGTTTCGGGTTTAGGGTTTAGGGTTTCGGGTGGGCTGTAGTCGTGTTTCCACGTGTTGTTTTTCGGAGCTTTGGAGACTTTCCTGGCCACCGTAGGTTCTATGAGCATCGCAGCATTCTTACCAAAGGGGCCATGTACCATAGAATTACATACTTGGGCCCAGAAGTCCCTAAATAGCAGGTACTTTAATTTAAGTGCCAGGTATTCCCTATTTAGGTACATGGACCCTTAGGGTTACAGAATTCGAGTACCTTCGTAATGTTCCGCCCGCAACCCCCTACCCAGGCAAACATTGTGAAACCACGAATCATCTCGCCGGGGGGTTCTTAAGCAATTAGTAGTTCTTACATGTTGACTTGCGCAGGCGAACGTCAAAGCCCTCGAGCCTCCCTTGGTGTTGGGTTTAGGGTTTCGGGTTCAGGGTTTATAGGGCTTAACTAAACCCTCATCCCATTTGCATCTGGCCCTGGACGCAGGCTTTCAGCGCTACTGCCCAAACTCTGGCAAGCCAATCAAGAGGCACAGCTCCAACCCTTAACCCTTAACCCTCAGCTCTAAACCCCCTGACCGAAAAACCCCGCACCGCCAATTCTTGACTGCGCGCATCGATCCGAATTCAAAGCCTTTGATCCTCAGGCGCTCCTACAAGGAACCCGTCGGGCGCAGGAACTGCTATATAGGCTGAGGCAGTACCACGCATTCAGTCTCTGTTTAACTTGACATGCTTCGACAAAACAAGAATAGAAGTATAAGTGTGTATCTATATATATATACATATTAATAAGCAAAATCATATGTGTATATCTATATCTATATAAATACATTAAAAACAAACAAAACATACACACACACATATATATATATATGTATGTATGTATGTATCTGTTGTATGTGTATATATATATATATACATAAATGGGTACATGATGGAAAGCTGGCATTCTGAGGAGGATGGATTGTGTTTTAGTATTGCTTTTGGGTTTTTGAGGCTTGCGGCGGTTTACGGTGAAGGATCTGGAGGGTGAGCCCAATGAATTGCAAGCAAAACTGGCCTGGAAGAAGCTCCGCACGGTATGGCGAGCGTCCAGACGCCGTCCCTGCTTGGGGTGTAGGGTTTAGGGTTTAGATGGGTTTAGGGAATAGAGCCCGGCGCTATCGAGTCAAGGGAGTTGGGGGTTTACAAAAATAGGGGACCCCCAGTACAGAGCCACAAATAGTAGGGTCCCCTTGTAAGAAGGACCCCAGGGACCCTCATTTCAATCTCGATTTCGATTTTGGGGCTTTCTGAGGTTAAAGAAGGGTTCGGCGCTCCAGGGTAGTGAGCTGGAGTTCGCAACATGAAAGTGCAATATGACAGAAGCCCCGGTCCTGCTATCTTGAACTGGCCCCTCCCTTGCAAGTTTCCAACGCAGTTGTCCGCAAACCCTAAACCCTAAGAGTGAACCGAGAGAATGAGAGCTCTTCAATCTGAAGCCCTGCGGTGGCAAGAGCGAGCACCTGCTCCATGACGGTTTAGGGTTTAGGGTTTAGGGTTTAGGGTTTAGGGTTTAGGGTTTAGGGTTTAGGGTTTAGGCTTTCGGGATTAAGGGCACCTTATCGGGGTCCTTCTCATAAGGGGATCCTACTATTTGGGATCTATATTGGAGGTCCCCTATCTTCCTAAACCCCCATGTCGTCTGTCTCAGATCGCGCGTGCCCTGAGAAGAGGAATGACAGGGCATGTCCAGAAGACCTGTACAAGAGGACTGTGTACTATAGACACCTTAAGAGTTAGAATAGGGTTTTGGATGTTCTTCTAGAAAGCGACGAAGCTAGCTCCTTGTGCAAGGCCTGGCGTGCGTGGGTGGGTCGTGATTTTTGAAGACCACAAGGATTCAAGTCGGTGTCAACAAACTATTTCTGAACACTTACCACCTGTGCCTTTCATGCCATTCAAGCAGCTTGACTAGTCCAGGTCTTTTCCGGAGCCAAGGCTCTGCGCAGCTGCAGTGGGACAGTGAAGTGTCGCCTAGAAGCCACCTTCAGTTCATTGCTACCTCGACTCCTCACTCCACACTGCACCTCGCCGGGGCATGTAAGTTATGCCAGAATACGTAGACCCCAAACAGTAAGAGACCATTCCAGATGTTCCGGAACGACGACCGCTTCGCATTTCGCGAGAAGCCAAAAACCGATGACACTTTTGAGGGCGCCGAGCACGGACATGCCCGCGCCTAGGCGAGAGCGCCATTTCCGTTCAATATGCGAGGAGCAGGTTTCGAGCAAAAAAAAACATGGTCCGCACACTGCGCTCGCGGGCCTGCTCGATCTATAGTCTCCCGTATTCTACACTGGACCCCCCTAGTGTCGACACACTGCTGGGGTCCACTAGAGTTGAGGCCGGGGAGGAGGGTGGGGGGGGAGGGGGGCGGGGAATACAATCTATTCACCTTTGATTGAAGACCCATGAAGACTGGGACCACTTTTTGACCCAGCAAGAGACATTGACACCCTGAACTAAAACGGCCATAAAGCACCTAGACGTGGCCCTGCACCGGGAGAGCCTTGAACCAACGACACGTATCCCTTAGGGCTCCCAGTATACTACCTACATTGGGGTCTCAAGTCTGTAAATAACCTAAACTCTAAACCCTAAACCCCAAACCCTAGATACTATGGGGCTGTTTGGAGCCTTAGGGATCTGCTAGTACGCAACATGCCTTGGCCCTAGCCCAAGGTGCCTGCGACAGCACATCGTCACGGATCTCCTGCGTCCGCCAAATCATGCTAGGGTTTAGGGTTTAGGGCTTCTGGAATCTTTACCCTGATATAGAGCGGGCATTTCGGGTAAAGCGGACTGAAGTCTCTTACGCTTAATGGAACAAGAACGGTTGGTACAATGAGAATTCGCCAACGTACTGTTGCATGCGGATGTAATAAATATCTCAGAAATCAGAAGAAGACCAGAGCTTGTTGAGAATCAATAGAAGTTTTCTGCAAGGTGCTGTCGGATTGGGCGTTCCAAGCTCTGAATGTGGAGTCAGGAAGAGAGGACGCCTTCGGGCAGGAGCGCATAAGGTTCTGCGGCTCAAAAAAGTGACGGCGGAATAAGTTTACCACAAAAGAAAAACATTGCTCATTGGAGTGCCACTGCGGATCAACTATACCTGAGGTCTCGGAAGGTGTCGTAACTGTACTGTAAGCGTTGTACAGTTTGAACACAGGAATGAAGGCAAGTAAATCTCTTGTGGGCCGCAAGGAATCGTTTTAGCACACCTTTGGTTTCATCTGGGGTCAGCGCTTGCCCTCCCGAAAGCGGCAGCTGTGAAAGAGAAGGAATAGTGGTCGGAGGCGAGGTGACTTTGCGAGGCCGTTCTTTCGATAAAGGTGTGCTTTGCAAAAAAGGGCGCAGGTGATGCGAATGACTATGATTGATGCGTAAGGCAGTATAAACAGCTCATGGAACTTCCCGACGGCTTGTGTCAGGAAGGTCTTGGCTTTCAGTTTAGGGTTTAGGGTTTAGGGCTTAGGGTTTGGTTCAGAGCATTTCGAGTCCCCGAGCCCTAAACCCTAAACTGTCGAGTCCTAAACCGAAAGGATGATTACCCGGAAGCGACCTATACCGCTGCATGTGCCCATCAGCTGCCACTGTACGAACTTAGGACCTAAACCCTAAACCCTAAAAACCCTAAACCCCGGGTTGCTGGACTTAAGCCACAACTTCTGTTACTTGGCTGGCTGGCAGGGACATGCATGCTGAAGCACTCACAGCGCGTTCTCCAAGCCTGAATCGTACCCGAACGCCCTTTCACTCCACAACCCGAATTCTCGACCTCTCGCCACGGCAGTCCTGCGTTTCTGCCTCGACTTCCTTCCGCTGCGCGGGGTGCAGTGCTTAGAAGGTCTCCCGGGCCATGAGTTGAGTACGACTATAGTGACTGTGACCAAACCTCGGGTTTAGGGTTTAGGGCTTATATGGTGTTTAGGCACTCACACGCAATAAAGCACAGGCCGTACGCACCGTGGGGAGGGGGGAGTTCGAACAAACTCTCCCCTATTTCGGGATAGCATCAGAAATCCACGAAGCCTTGGTTCAGGGCTACCTGGTGGCCGAAGCAACTAACAGCTCTCAATACCTACTGGTACCATGTCGTGGGCCTACCGCCTACTTGTGTTTGCATGGTTTGGGGCAGCAAGAACCCTAAGCCCCTGGAAGCCCCTCTTTTCTCCTTGACCTTCAGGTCGATTTGGGGAGTCTGATCTTAAAACAAAGCAATCAAAATTGTGACGGCGGTGGAAGACGAAGCGCCGGCAACATCAACAATTCATAAATGCAAAGCCTGTCTCCGACGTAGGCTGGAGATTGGCATTTTTCATCTGCATCAGAATGAGACCGTGATGTACTCCTGCTCCTCAAGTGGTGCATCAGCCACAGAACTCATGCCCGGATTCTTCGCGACTTGTGCGTCCGGGAGAGTGCTGGTCCCTAGATCCTCCACAACCACACTCACTTGAGGTGTTTTGTCGTCGCTCCCTTCTTGTTCTCTTCTTGCTCGGAAGCGGAAGAACAAGAAGCAACAACACATGAATACCAGAAAGACACTGGCAACAATCACCACAGTCACCTTTCCAGTGACTCCGGCAGTATCAGCAGAACGCTCCGGCAGCGGCTTCTGGACGATGACCTCGGTCGGCTTCTCTGAAGCTCGCGCCATCCGCAAGCGCATGTAGACGACCTCAGCGACCCGGAAGGTGGAGTTCACGAAAGTCAAGCCTTCGTCAATCTGCTCGGTGATCTGGGCCGCACTGCCTTCCTGTAGCCGAAGAGTCCGAGTCTGCACGAAAAGGGCTGCCTCCTCCTCCGTGCCAAAAGCCCCCTCTCCTGCGAACAACGCTCGGACGAACTCTTGCGTGGCGCCACTTACGACTTCCATGTCCACGTTCACTCGGAGCCCAAGCAGGGTGCCAAGAACATCGACAAAGATGTCTCTGGCCCATGAATCATTGGCAAAGGCGGCAGTCGTGTCAGCGTCGGGCAGGTCAGATGCTGTCGGGTTGACATCGAAGAATCCGGAGATGAGCACTGTTCCGTTCCAGAAAGTGGTCGTCGTCGAGCTGGTGCTCGATGT